TCCAGAACACGGCTGCGTGCGAGTTTCGAATTACTGTACGGCGGATGCCGACTGTGAAGATAGCATATGTCTCGATGGACAATGTAGAGGTAATGTTTAATATTTTTAAAAATACAAATAATATTAAGTTATTGCTCTTCCTTAATTAAATTAAAAATTGTTTTAAAATAAAGCCAACAGAGCAAGAGCTGGATCGATTTGCTCAAAAATTCTTTTTTATTATAAATTTATACAGACGTTTCGGCCAAGGTACGTGGCCATCTTCAGTGTAATACAATTATAAAGCTTAGTACATAATTAGAGAAGCGTTGGTAATATTTTGACTAAGGAAACGCATCCTGTTAAAGTGAAGTTTAATATTTTTCTTAATTGATAAATGAGTTTAATGTTTATGTTAATATTTTTTGTAATATCGTTATATTGAAAAGTTTCAAATAATAAAATTGAGAATTTCTGTCTTTAGCTGTGTGCCGTTCCGTCGCTGATTGTTCAGATGGAGAGAAATGTATTAACAACAAGTGTATGGTATCGTGTATCACGCATTCGCAGTGTCAAGGAGATCAGACGTGTGTTAGTGGAGGCTGCATTCTCGGTTGCCGCAGTAATAAGAACTGCGCCACCACTGAATCGTGTATTAATAACAAATGTCAAGGTATGTTATAAACCGCATTGGATGTATATTTTGTTTGTGGTATTAACATTAATATTAAATTTTTCAATATTTTTATGAATTAATTGATAAAGTCACTCATATATAATTCTTGAAAGTAAAAGAAGAAACTTGCGTGATTTTAGATCCTTGCGGTAGAAAAGACGTATGTGGGCCAAACGCAATCTGCAGTTGCTCTAATCATGCTGTTGCGTGCACATGTCCTCTTGGTTTCCATGGTAATCCTACTCCAGAACAGGGTTGCGTCCGAGTGCCAAGTATATGCCAAACTCCGCAAGATTGTCCCAGTCAACATCTGTGTGTGTCAGGCCTATGCCAATGTCAATGCTTCGAACAGAACAATTGCGCGCAGGGCGAACGTTGCAAGAACGGCATTTGCGTGAAGATATGTTACAGCGATAGTAATTGTTTACCTGGCGAATTATGTATCGATGGCACATGCGAAGCGGGCTGCACCTCGGACGTCGGCTGTAAACGCGATGAAGTGTGCATTAACAACAAGTGCAGGTATAGCTTGTTTTTATGTCAAATTTATTTATTAAATCATTTGTGTATTTCAGTTTTTAAACACATAACCGATTGTCATTTTAGAAATTTACGATATTTAATTTATTTTTCCAGATGCAGCCACGGATTTGTCGTTGGTCCTGAACATTGCCTGGATATCAACGAATGTGAAGACGAACCGTGTCATCCGAGTGCTGAATGCATTAATCTTCATGGATCTTATCGCTGCACATGTCCTCCAGGCACCGCGGGAGATCCTGTAGGATCGGGCTGTGTACTACCACATCAATGTACGGCGCATACAGATTGTCTGGACACGCAGGCCTGCATTCACCACAATTGTTCGGATCCATGCTCAGTCGTTGATTGCGGATTAAATACCATTTGCTCCGTTTTGGATCACACAGCTGGATGCCAATGCCAACCTGGTTACATCGGCGATGCTTCGGGGTGCTTCAGAGTGGAATGTCTTTCCAACAGCGATTGTCCGACGGATAAATATTGCAATCTGGAAATTAATAAATGTAGCAGTAAGTTATCGTTTTATTGCGATACGCTTATATCAACAGATATTAGAGTGCACTATATTTGAAATGAAATAATTAGTGTAAAACAATTATCTAAATCTTTAATCCTTTATCAGGTCCTTGCAATCAAGTGAACTGCGGATATGGCAATTGCATAGCTCTCGAACATATCAGTGTGTGTAAATGCTATCCTGGCTTTGTCCTCGTCGGTGACATCTGCACTGATGTTAACGAATGTTTGCAAGATCCTTGTCATTCCTCAGCTATGTGAGTAAAACTTATCATTTGAATTAATTATGGAGGCTTATTATTTTTTTTATCAACATTTTTGTAATGAAATATTGAATAATGTGCAGATGCCAGAACACGGAAGGATCATTCGCCTGTGTTTGCCCGCATGGTTTAGTAGGAGATCCGTTTAAAACTGGTTGCAAGCAACCCGGTGATTGCTTCACAGATTCAGATTGTCCGAATTCAGCCGCTTGCGTTGACAACAGATGCACCAATCCATGCGACACGCCGAGCATTTGTGGTAGAAATGCGGAATGTTTTGCACGCGATCATGTTCCAATCTGCAGATGTCCAGGACAAACTAAGGGAAATCCATCAGTGAGTAATTTTAATTGCGAAGTTTTGATAATACGTTTGTAGTTCGCATAGAGTCAGTTTGATTCATAACAACGTTTACAATAATTTGTAATAATTAATAGTTTTTACAGTATTTTCTTTCATATAATGTTAAATATTACTTTTATTTTGTTTGGATTTATTTTTTATCTATGTTTTATACATTTTTAGACGGAATGTATTCATCTGGAGTGCAACTACCACAGCGATTGCAGTCAATCAGATGCATGCTTTGATCATAAGTGCGTCGATCCTTGCTCAGTTTCGAACGTTTGCGGACATGGAGCTGATTGCTCTTCGCTCAATCATAGCGCAGTATGTATCTGCCAACCTGGCGGTACAGGTGATCCGAATCTTGGATGCACTCCGGTTCAGTATTGCAGAAGTGACTCGCAGTGCGCAACCGGTTCAGCGTGCAATGGAGGCGTGTGCACAGGTAAATAATTAATCACGTAAATATAATAAAATCGATTTTTATCATGCGTTATACAATCCACATCTTGCTGTTGCAATTTGCAGCGCTTTGTGAAAGTACCAGAGATTGCATCGGCGATCAACTGTGTATCAACGGTCTTTGCCAGCCCACCTGTAGAAGTAATTCTAGCTGCCCAGAATATCAATACTGCCATAATAATATATGTGTTCAAGAATTACGTTGTACGTCGGACAGTGATTGCGGATATGATGAAAAGTGCATTAAAAATAGTATTGGACAGGTAATATTACGTGTTATTATATACATTTTAATATGAAAAATCTTATTGGTTCTGTCAATCGTATACTTACTTTTTGTACTTTTCTGTTAATCGATTAGGCGGAGTGTCATAGAGCTTGCGACTTGATACTCTGTGGCCGTAACGCCGAATGCAAGTCTGATAATCACATCGCAACATGCACTTGTAAGTCGGGCTTTTTCGGAAATGCCAAAGACGACAAAATTGGCTGCCAACCTATCGAGTGTGAAGTCCACGACGACTGTACTCAGGAGAAGATCTGCGATTTTCATAGATGTAGAATCGCCTGTCTCGCGCATAATCCTTGCGGTGTGAATGCTATTTGCACAGCGGAGAAACACGTTCAAGTAATTATTATTTCGTTATATATATTACCTACGCGATAATAATTCTTTAGTGATCTTTTCGATAATGTTCGTTTTGTGGCTTTAGGTTTGCACATGTCAACCAGGCTACACAGGAGAACCCACGCGTGCTTGCGCACTGATAGATTACTGTGCGAATACGCCTTGCGCACCGGGTGCACTGTGCGAAAATTCGCGTGGATATTTCAAGTGCCATTGTCAACCTGGTACAGTCGGTGATGCTTATAACAGTGGCTGCCAACCGCCAGTAGAGTGTCTCCACGACGTAGATTGTCCGTTAACTGCTAAATGTGTTAATATCAACAACGTACCGAAGTGTTTCGGTATGTACATTAAGCTCAATAAATTTTATACTATTATTTTCTTTATCACATTTAATATCTTGTTTTAGTACTCATATAATACACGTTTATATCTAAAAACATTTTATTTCATTTTCTCATTCCAGATACCTGCGCACGTATACAGTGTGGTCCAAACGCTGATTGTGTCGCGAGTAATCACGCCGCAAGTTGTCAGTGTCGCACCGGTTACGAAGGCGATCCTATTTCGAACGTGGGATGTCGTCCGAAATCAGTGGTCTGCTCGTCACACGTCGACTGTGCAGCCAATACCTATTGTTACGAAGGCATTTGTCGACGTGAGTATTTATCGAAATTTCAGATCTAGTCGAGTGAAAGAATTGTTTCATTATATTTTTAACAACATAAATATTATTCCAGCATCTTGCCTATCGGATGAAGAATGCAACTTATTCGACGTTTGCTTGAATGGACAATGCTTAGATCCATGCGACGTGAAATCGGCCTGCGGTATAAATGCCGAATGTAAGGTGAAGAGTCACATTAAGCAGTGTAGCTGTCCACCAGGCTTCACCGGTAACTCCGAAGTGGAATGCGTAAGATGTAAGTATATAAATAATTTTTCAATACTTACTATTTAAAGAATCTCGTTATTTAATATCTCTTTTTGCACATGATTATAAAATCTCTATTACTTGCAGTGCCAGTGTCCTGTCTAGGAAGCAGGGACTGCAGCAAGGGCAACACCTGTCGCGAGAATGTTTGCTTGCCGATCTGCACCGCCGACGATCAGTGCGCATTGAATGAGAAATGCATCCGCGGCAATTGCTTGCTGACCTGCCGGCTGGACAATGACTGCTTCCTGGGCCACATCTGTCTGAAGAACATGTGCTCGTTCGGTTGTCGCGCTGATGAGGATTGCAACGCGAATGAGGCATGCCTGGGGAACAAATGCGTGAATCCATGCAAGGCCACATCGTGCGGACCGAACGCCAAGTGCACAGTCTTCAACCAGCGTGCCACCTGTTCTTGTCCGTCCGGTTTTATACCGAATCCGACGGCGAAGATCGCATGTCTGAGAACACCGGGTCCGATCTGTCAGGCCAATCGGGATTGCGCCGCGGGCACGGCTTGCGTCAGCGGCATTTGCACAGCCGTCTGCTCGACCAACGCGAACTGTTTGAGCAACGAGAGATGTGATAGCTCCGGCGTTTGTAAATCACTCTGCAGACGGGACGAGGATTGCAGAAGCGGTGAGATCTGCGAAGGATTAATGTGTATTTCCGGCTGTCGAGCGGACATCGAGTGCCAAGATAATTACGCGTGCATAAACAACCAGTGCACAGGTTAGTTTCTTATCGATATTTTTTTATGTAAATTTTTTCCTTAATAATTATAAAAAAATTAAATTTGTGTCATTTTTGTTTAATTTTTTTTTTGTATAATTAGGATGCGAAAGTATTTTTTTGTATATCTTCTTTCTTTTACAGATCCATGCTCATTGGCCGGCGCTTGCGGCGTAAACGCTAAGTGTGCAATCGTAAATCATCAAAAGATATGTACATGTCCATCGCCCTTAGTGGGAGACGCTCGTATTGGATGCAAACAGGCCTTCCTTCCCTGCTTATCTGAATTTGAATGTTCGCCAGGACAAGTGTGTTATGGCAAATCGTGTTATTCCATTTGCAGAAGGTGAGAGTGCATAAATATGAATAAATTATAAAGATATTACAATATTACGATGCATAATACTGAATAATTATACATTCTTAGCGATGCAAATTGCTTGAGCGATGAACGATGCGATGGCGGAATTTGTAAGGCGATATGCAACAGCGACGATCATTGCATCGCGAATCAAATATGTCACAATCGCTTGTGCGATATTGGATGCCGAAGCGATAACACATGTCCCAGTGACGAATCTTGCATCAATAATCAATGCAGAAGTAAGTATAGTTGCATGTACAGCATATTACCGTGTTATTATCGATTTCAGTTACATGGATTTTAATTGATACAATTTTATTATTGCTTTCAGGTCCATGCGAAGGCGGTAAGGCGTGCGGAGAATGCGCGGGCTGTCGCGTCGTCAATCACGTGGCTCAATGTAACTGTCCCGCTAATTATTACGGCAACGCGTTGATCAATTGCGCCAAGACTATGATTCCTTGCGATGGTTCGTGCGAGTGCGATGAGATCGGATTCTGCACCACCAGTTGCCACATTCAGGATGACTGCTCCTGCGGGGAAGTCTGCTTTAGCGGAAAATGCCGCATTAAATGCGACATCAATAACGCCTGTCCAAAGGTAAATTTAAAAAGTTTAAAAATATTTTTCTAAATTAATGTATTACAACACTATTAGAACACATTAAATATGTCATTAAATGCGCAGGGTTATGTATGCGACGGAGGTTTGTGCCTGGTTGGTTGTCGCACTCATTCCGACTGTCCGTCATCATTGTCGTGCACAAATGGCCAATGCGAGAATCCGTGTTCCGCTCATGGATCACCTTGCGGAATAAACGCACTCTGCCGCGTCTCGAATCATCGCGCGGTATGCTTGTGTCCCGAAGGATATCAGGGCGAGCCGAGCCAGGAATGTTACCAGTTGGAATGCCATCACGATGACGATTGCGAGCCGAACAAACGTTGCAGTGAATATGGAGTTTGCACAAATCCGTGCTTGCAACACAACGTTTGCGGCTTCAACGCGCAATGTCGAGTGATCAACAGGAAGGCACAGTGCTCCTGTCCACCCGGACACTTTGGTAATCCGAAGATCAATTGCAAGAAAGGTGAGTTTATTACACTTGTATAAAAAGTCTTTATTTGTGAATAAATTTATATGTATATATTTTAATTATTCCCAGGCGGAGATGAATGTCTACGAAGACCTTGCGGTATTAACGCCAAATGCCGAGAAACTCTGAATGGTTTCGAATGCACATGTGATCCAGGATGCCACGGCGATCCACACCAGGCCTGCCTCTGTGCCGGCGATCTCTGTAAGGATACTCGCTGCGGTGTCAATGCAGCTTGTCGAATTTATAAGAATCAGCCTCAATGTTATTGCCCACCGAATCATCCATCAGGCGATCCAATGCACGCATGTACGTATATAACTTTTTTAATAGATTTAATAATAATATATTTTAAAAAATATGAAAATATTGGTTGCTTATGAAAGAAATTACGGAAGTTTTACATTTTTTTTTTTTGAATATATAAAATATGACAATACAAAATCTTAAAAACATATTTCAGTATCGTGGCAAAATAGTTAACAGTTGTCATTAATTTTTTCGATGACTATCGTCATTAATAATTTGTCGATACAGGTAGCTCAGATAGAGATTTAGGAGACTGTCGGACAAATGGATGTGGAAAGAACGCTGAGTGCATTAGAGATGGGGCTATATTTGTCTGCCGGTGTCCACCAGGTACAAGCGGCTCGCCAGATATCGAGTGCACAACAGGTAGGAAAATACAGCCCACTAACTTTTTAACCGAGCAGATTGATTAATTTTATGTACAGCATTTGTGACTAGCGAGCAATACTGACAATCACAGGAACATGGTCCGTAGAATAACCATGTATCGTCTAGTAGGACTTGAGTAATACATAGATGTATTAATCGAGTGAAATATATCGTTAACATCGAGAGACAGATGTGATTGGAGCAGTATTTCGCCACGACACTGAATATTTACATATTCCACAGCAAAGTGTACAACATTACCTGTACATATATACGATATAAGACATATTGTACATAATTTTGATAAGAGAGAGAGAGAGACACATTTCACACATATCTCACACATAACTTTATATGTAGAATGTTTATTTCAGTATCCAATCTGTCTTGAGGATGTAAATGAATAACAAAGAGACACTCGTTGCCTTATAGTGCCACTTGAATACAAGGAGGTACACGTTTACAATCGCCACCATCTTTCTATTCTAGGATTAGTACAGATTGGGAACTGCGAAAGGGACATTCTCATATACCCATGCTTGATATTTGCTGATATTCACGGGTTTATTATTTCCTCTTTTTTTCTGAAATCTCTGTGGGGGCTTGTGTTGTAAATATCGCTGCTTGCCGTTTGTAATTTCTCTGAGAAGATGTCTGATGTTTTGAAAAAGTGTAAAGTCGTTCTCTATACTTCTTCACAGAGCCTACCCTACTTTCATTATAAATACAAAGCATGTGGTTTATGTTATTTGTGAGAAAGTTTCTTTTCACAGTTCTTATAAATGCTTTTTTCTTTTTTTTTCCTGTCCTACCCACGACCACCCACCGACTCTACACCATTGAACACCACTATCGTGACAATAGAGCGCGAATGCACCAGCGACTTAGAGTGCCCCAATGAAAAAGCCTGCATAAATCTACAATGTCTGGACCCGTGCGCGCTACGCGGTGCCTGTGGGATCAATGCTCTGTGCCGAGTGGTTCTGCACAAGCCGCGTTGCTCGTGCCCGCAGTGTTATATCGGTATGCCCCACACGGCCTGCCATCCAGATTCCAAATGCGACACGCTCAATCCCAAACCTACGCCGAGCATCGGTTGTTCCTCCGACTACGACTGTCCGGAGAGTCTCTCCTGCCACTCTCAGACAGGCGAGTGCCGCGATCCATGTTTGAGCTCCCGGTATACCTGCGAGGTCAACAAGAGGTGTCAGGTGCGGAATCACAAACCTATGTGCGTTTGCAAATACGGCTTCGTAGTCAACGAAATTGGGGAATTGACCTGCGCTCCTGACACGCTCACCTGCTCGAGGGACTTCGATTGTCCCTCGAACGCCGCGTGCGTCAACGGAAAATGTCAGAATCCCTGTAACGTGCGAAACAAAAGACCATGTTCGGCCGATAAAACCTGCGATGTCCTGGACCATCGTCCCGTGTGCATTTGCACCAAAAACTGCAATCCCTCCCTCTCCATTTGCCTGCGAGACAGTGGCTGCTCTCCAGACTTGGCGTGCCGCAACTATCGCTGCGTGGATCCATGCAGAAACTCTACCTGTCCGGCTGATGCCCCCTGTTACGTGGAGGAGCACAAGCCTATCTGCAAGTTCTGTCCCCCCGGCTTTGTGCCAGATACTAAATACGGATGCATGAAAGGTAAACACCATTTCTCAGACCACTATCTGAGTCTTGTCATTTCTCATAGCCGTTATCACGTCTGTACATTGCCTGGCCTTACACGAGACATACAATTTCTACTTTTCAGGTTTCCGATCATCCAGACAGCGGAATACGCTCACCATTCTTTCTTTCCTTTAATTAATCACTTCGTTATTTTCACAAAATTATTCTACAACAGAAAACTTTTTTACATTAATGCCGCGCGGTTAAATGTAAATTTTCGTATTCTGTTGTCTGGATATGTATTTCAGGTTCCAAGTTACAAATACAACTTTCCCACACCTTAAACTCCTGCTCTACTCTGCCAATCTCCTCACTACTTGAAGGATTTTTCCGATACATCTGTCTCTGTAAAGACCTAATAATGTTTTTTATAATTAGCTTACCTATTATGCGAGCATGCTAACTCTTAATTGAAACTGTAGTAATTGAAACTGTAAACTTACCTGTAGCATAGCCTAATCAGAGTCGCTTCCTGATTTCAGTTTTAATAACTTTATCAGTTATTATGTTTACGTTATATTGTATCCGCAGCAGTTCTTCACCCCATGCCCAAGCCAGTTTGCGAGTCCGATGATGACTGCAGCGACGCAGAAGCCTGCGTCAAAAGCTCCTGCGTTGATCCTTGTATCAACGAGTGTCAACTGACTGTTCAATGTCGGGTTGAAGCGCATAGGCCTATTTGTGATTGCGATCCTAACGACCAACGTTGTTCATCTGGTGGTGCAACGACGTTGCGTTCAGATCACACTTTTAAAACCGACGTTTATACTACATTACAAACAACAACAAACGCTAGTATTTTGCCGTCCACACCGCCTATTTCCACTACAGAAGTTGCATACACGAAGGAAAGCACAATTTCTTTAACACAAGTTACTGAAAACTTGGTGAAAAATATTACCACTGAAACGAGTAGATCAGATACGACAACTGTCTCCACGGAAGTTATTACCGAGTCTTCGGAACATACGGGAACTGTATTTACAACGCAAAGTACAGTTAGTACTAGCATTTCAATTCCAACGACGAACGTTGATATTTTAGAAAACGTTACATCTAGTCACTTTACGACTCCAATGTCTGAAACCACTTCAACGGAACATGCAAGTACGATTACTTCCGAAATCGAATCGACAAGTACTCCTATTATTCCAACTACATACAAGGAAGAAACTATTACAGAAAATGTATCTTCTTTTACTGTGATTTCAACAACGAGCGAATCTGAAGAGAATGCTACGACGACCAAGCTACCCGAAACTACTATTATTGCAGAGAATGTTACTCTAATTTTTCCATTTACTGAGAGTACTACAATTTTCGATAAAAGTACTGAAACAATTTCCACACCGACGGAAGTAAGTAGTACGCATGCAGAAATTCCTGAGAATATAACTATAGTTCCTACTACAGAAGTTCCTGATATAAATGTAGAAACTTCAACAGTAATAACGACTACACAACGATATTTTACTACCACAGAATGTAAAGAATTAACAGTAAAGCCGGAAGAAATCACTGAGCCATATACAGAGAATACTATTAGCACAACGACGACTGCAACATTTACGATGTCATCTCCAGATGTCTCAGAACATACCGAAATAACTACGATAAATATTGAACATGATACTGCCGAAGAAATCACTCAAGAAACCAGCACTGCCGAAACTGCATCTTTGCATACAACTGAGCCATATGTAAAAGATACTACTCCATTATCTGCAATTACAACTGAATCTCCCATATTTACGTCAAAGGAATTAATTACTGATAACATCTCTCAGAAAGGCACTGATATTTCTACAGAAACCTCCACTACTGAACAATACACCACATCTTATCTTACCACACAAGAATACTCTACAGAACAATACACTACTTTGAAGCAGTACACTACACCTGAACAAATTACAGAACAGATTTTGACTACAGAACAATCCAGCACTCCTGAATATTCTACAACAGAACAGCTTAAAACATCTCAACAGCCTACAGAACAGTACACTACACGCGAACAATTTACAGAACAGATCTCGACTACAGAACAATCCAGCACTCCTGAATATTCTACAACAGAACAGCTTAAAACATCTCAACAGCCTACAGAACAGTACACTACACCCGAACAATTTACAGAACAGATCTCGACTACAGAACAATCCAGCACTCCTGAATATTCTACAACAGAACAGCTTAAAACATCTCAACAGCCCACAGAACAGTACACTACACGCGAACAATTTACAGAACAGATTTCGACTACAGAACAATCCAGCACTCCTGAATATTCTACAACAGAACAGCTTAAAACATCTCAACAGCCTACAGAACAGTACACTACACCTGAACAATTTACAGAACAGATTTCGACTACAGAATCCGGCATATCACAACACTCTACAGAAAAGCATTTCACTACAGAACAGTTTTGGACATCAGAGCAACCTACTGAACAATATACTGTATCTGAACAGTCTACAAAACAGATCTCTACTACAGAACAATATAGCACATTCGAATATTCCACAGAGGTACATTCTACTACCGAACAATCTAAAGAATCTACGCAATCATCCTTTACTACCGTGCAATATAGTACAACTGAATATTCCACGGAAGAATATTCTACTTCTGAAAAATCTACAGAACAATCCGTCACTGAAATTAGCCGGAATAAAACAAATATGATTTGCAACTTAGACACAGATTGCACGGAATGTGAGATTTGCATTGATCGTCTATGCCAGAATCCATGTAGAGTTAATAATCCATGCCCTGAGAATGTTTTATGCGACGTTACGAATCACCGGCCTGTGTGCTTAGACTCAAGTACCGAGCAGAGTACGTCTAATTGTAGCATACTCCCAGGTAAAGATTTTTCGTGTCGGGAGTTTCGTAATTGTGGTATCATTTCATGTCACTGTCACCGATGTTCTCTGCAAGCTTCCTCCAGTATGGGTTCATATTATCGTGTCCAGATGAAAGTTGGAAGCAACCAATTCTGGAGTGTGTACACACACTGCTTGCCGAATGAATCGGTCATTTCACGAAATGGCTCATCCGTGTAAATCCATAAATGAAAATATCATCGGTATACTATAAAGGCGACACATAAATCGAACTTTCCTCTCTCCCTATGACGACCGTGAAAATGTTGAAAATTGTCAATAGGCATTCGCAGACACTGCCTTCCCAAATGCAGACAAAGGACTGCTGCATTAGCGCTCTCCGCATGTACATTAACGCTTATGCACGATTTTCTCTTACAGCTTTTTAATCTAACATCTAATGGATTGCGATTTCACAATTGTCTATTTTCAGGAGAAATTATCTTCTACGTTGGCAGATTGACAACAAATTTCATCAAATATAATGTCAATCTATCAACATTGTTAATATTTGAATTACAAAGATGCTCTTATTTCAAAATCAATGTATTGTACGAAAAATGAAGTAATTATAAAAGAAAATTTCATCTGAAAATAGACGCATCGATGTTTCTAAGCTACTATACTTGACACATGTAACACAAATATCACTATATGTCTCATAATTTAAAGAAAAATAGTACATCGTCCTTGTGTGTTCATATTTATGTATTGCACATTGGCAACATCTATGCGATAGACTTAAGTAAAATGTGAATTGTTTTATAGCTGTCGTTTTGGTCGAGCAAATCAAGATGATAGTTAAAATTATATCAAAATCGATTTTCTGTTGGGACATGTACATTAACATTTCACAACGTTTTCGTCGTTCGTGACAATTAATTCCTGCATCTAATACAAATTTGTTCCGCTAGACGTGAAATGCACGACGCACAACGACTGTCCCATTCAACTGGCCTGCATAAATCAACAATGTCTGAATCCTTGCACTTTGGGCAATCCGTGCGACTTCGTCGAAGTTTGTCATGTACATTATCATAGGCCGGTCTGCGTTAAAGGTACGTTCACTGTTAAATTAAATAATATTTGACATTTCAGTAATTGAAAAAAATTAATTCACTATTTTATATAACGTTTTTCAGAGGATTTCAATGAAACGAAATGTCCTTACTGCCCGCCCGGTATGCAATGCGACCCATTGACAAATACATGCGTGAAAGGTTTGTACGACTGCCAGCACTGTGCGACTTGGTTACACCTAATTTTATTTTCAGTTTTTCATAGCCGTCAATAGATTTGTAAATATGTATGTACTGTACATATTTCACGAACATATTTTGCAAATTATCCGCAAATATGCAAATTGCATAAAACTTTATAAAGCACACAGAATATTTAATACTCTCGTGCATGATCATGAAGAATGATCTCTGAAATATTCATCTTTTTGAACATATATTTTCCCGTTTAGAGAAAATATTTTTCTCTTAATAATCCCCATACTTTATGCACATATGCTATATATATAATATATAGCATATATATAAAATGCAATAAGAACTAATGCTGCAATATAAAACAGAAAATCGCATATGCTATGCAAAGAAAATTCTTTTCTTTTAAGTCTTCTATTCTGTCCAAGTCCAAAAATCCAAAATTGCAAATCTTATATTCGTGCACTACCCTTCCTGGGGCTACATGGGCTTTCTCACTCTTTCTTTAGCGGGTTGCACTAGCAACAGGGATTGCCCGCTGACAGAGGCGTGCATTGGGCACACTTGCCAGGAGCCATGTTTAGTTCGAAATCCGTGTGCGGAACATGCCATTTGCATTAATACGAATCACGGAGCCGATTGCAGCTGTGAGGAAGACTATCATGGAAACGGATTCTCCTATTGCGATTTGCGTGAGTTTTATTAATATTAAATTTATAAAATTTTTATAATTTAATTTAACTTTGCAATAAAAATTAAAAATAGACAAGTCTAATTCGAATAATTAATTATGCAAGTGAATAAAAATTGTAAGCAAAGCTTTGCAGTTGATTATACAATTTTATATACTCTGTTGAAAGATTAATTAAAAATGTATATAAAAATCTAATTGATACATCCTTCCAATTTCAGTGGAAGAGGGCAAGAATATTTGCCAATACAACGAAGACTGTCCCCCGCACAAATACTGCGATCGCCTCAACAGACTGTGTATCAATCCTTGCGTCGAACATGACTGCGGAGAAAACGCGAAGTGTGTCTCCAGTAACCATGAAGCGCAGTGTACGTGCCTTCCTGGATATCAAGGAAATCCTCAGATTGACTGCCAGGAGATACCGACCTCTAATCCTTGCGTACCAAATCCTTGCGGTTTGAACGCTTTGTGCGAGAACGATAATGGAAATCCCGTTTGTTTCTGCCCGAAAGGCCTAACTGGAAGTCCGTTCGAGCAATGCAGTATGTATACATTTTCAGAAAATATTGTGACATTATTCATTTGCTTCAGATTGTATAAAAATGCATACATATAAATAACGTTACAAAATATTAAGCATTAATTTCTTAATCAATCAATTTTTTAATGTGTTCAGTTCCTGAAGGTGATCAGTGTGAAGGCAACCCTTGCGGTGCGAACTCGGGATGTCGGGTGATAAATGGACAGGTGAAGTGCTTCTGTCTGCCTGGCTACGAAGGAGATCCGCCGCACGTTCCCTGCATACTCCCCAGCACTTCTTGCGAGCCTTCTCCTTGCGGTCCCAACACTCGCTGTTCCGTATTGAGCAACGGCTTTGCAAAGTGTACCTGTCTACCTGGATACATTGAAAGTCCTAACACTATCAGAGGATGCGTACCGAAAGAAAATCAATGCGACTTTAATCCATGCGGCTTTGGAGCGATATGCAACAGTACGAGAGTACCACCTTGTTACTGCCCGGATCTCATGATTGGAAATCCATATAAGAATTGCGGAGGTAATTATTATCAATCGTTAAATAATATGAAATAATAAGAATTTACTTAGAAAATAATGAAAAACATGGAAAATTGAGAAATAATATTCTGGAAATTTAAAAAGTATTAGATTTTTCTGTAATTATAATCAGTCGTAACAGAGTTCTATGAATTTCTATGTGCAGCACGCCCAGCGGAACCGTACGATCCCTGTCTGTTATCGCCTTGCGGCAAGAATGCTATTTGTACAGTAGTCAATGGCGCAGCTAAATGTACATGCGTACCGCCATTCATTGGCAATCCTTATCTGGATGGTTGTGAAGCCGAATGCATCATTAATCGAGATTGCGAGGGTCATCTGGCTTGTTTCAATCAGCATTGTAGAGATCCATGTCCAGGCGTGTGTGGCGCCAATGCGCGATGCGAAGTCGTCGATCACCTACCGATGTGCTCTTGTTTGCCGGGATATACCGGAGATCCGTTTAGAGCCTGCAAAGTGGAGAGGCCTAGTAAGTTTTTTGAAATTTATTTTTAGCAGATATTAATCGCAAAAACAACTATATAGTAACGAATCTAATTTGTGTTTTTTATAGTAATACCTGATCAGAATCCATGCTTGCCGTCGCCATGCGGCCCGCACAGTATTTGCCGTGTGATGAACGATCGTGCTGTTTGCTCCTGTAGTCCGGGTTACCAAGGCACGCCGCCGCATTGCCGTCCCGAATGCCTCGTCAGCACAGAATGCCCAGCTCACCTGGCTTGTATCAATCAGAAATGTAACGATCCTTGCCCGGATTTGTGCGGTTTGAATGCTGATTGTCAGGTCGTGAATCACAATCCCATCTGCAGTTGTCCTCGTCAATATGTCGGCGATCCATTCACGCATTGCGCCAAGGAAGGTAATAACATTAGCTTACTTTCACTGTTTAATCTATTGAATGTAAAGTACACAAAATTGTCTTTGTTGATCAATAGCGAATAAAGTAATAGCGAAAATAAAACAGCAAGATTTGCAATTTTCAGCTATTAAAGGAATAAATATTTCAAACGTATCAAATAATTATATTATTTGCAGAACCGTTACCACCAACCACGAATCCTTGTTTGCCGTCGCCTTGCGGACCTAACGCTGATTGCCGCGTCCAAGAAGATCATCCCATCTGCACGTGTATTAGCGGTATGTACGGAGCACCGCCGAATTGTAGACCAGAGTGTGTCATCGATCAAGATTGCGTCAGTTCCTTAGCATGTATTCAAAAGAAGTGTTTGGATCCGTGCATTGGATCATGCGGATTCAACACAAATTGCGCAGTGCAAAATCATCGACCGATATGCCAGTGTTACGAAGGCTACGAAGGAGATCCTTTCTCAGGCTGTGCCAAAAGTAAGATTTCAACAGATTCTGCAGCGATACTTCTTTTTAATGCAACGCGTGTTTTTCTAATAGCTAAAAGATTGTAATTATTATTTTTAATTATTTATATTACTATTGTTGAGTACGATTTAAAGTGTTTTATGTATATTTCGAATGTTTAATACATTTTTATTCTACAGCTGTCTTCCCAGCGCCATTGCCGTGCGATCCTTCGCCATGCGGTGCAAACGCCGTATGCAAGGAGCGTAATGGCGCGGGCTCTTGCACTTGCCTGCCCGATTACACCGGCGATCCGTACGAGGGCTGCAGACCAGAATGCGTTCAAAATTCAGATTGCATTCACACGAAGGCTTGCATCAACAACAAGTGCAAGGATCCATGCATTGGAGCGTGCGGAATTAATGCACAATGTCAAGTTTATAACCATCAACCGTCCTGCAGCTGTCTTTCTGGTTACACCGGAGATCCACTTACATCTTGTCACATACCATTAGGTATGCTTGTAATATTTTTCTCACATCTTTGTGTAGTCGCGAATAAAAAGCTTTTTCAATGATCTATTCAAGCATCTATAATGTGATATATTTTTTATAGAACCTCCAGTACCGGGTGATACGTGCCAACCGTCTCCCTGTGGACCATACAGCAATTGCCGCGTCGTTGATAATCACGCAGTATGCTCCTGCCAACCTAATTACATCGGTAGCCCACCGTCATGCCGACCAGAATGCGTGGTCAGTACCGACTGCAGCCCGAATGCAGCGTGCATCAATCAGAGGTGCAAAGATCCATGTGCAGGCACGTGTGGCGTGAACGCGGATTGTCGAGTAATCAATCATAATCCAGTCTGCATTTGTGCGATCGGCTATAGTGGAGATCCATTCTTCGGATGCGTTAAAGAAGGCAAGTTTCAAATCTTTATTTTCGACATTCTGCATATTTTATCAATTTCTATATTTTTAATGCGTTAATTTTTTTAGTGAAACAACTTAATTAGATAGAAATAATAATTAATGTGTAATGTTCTAGCAGAAGTGACACCAATACCAAAACCGGGCGGCAATCCGTGCATCCCTCCGCCATGCGGGCCGAATTCCCAGTGCCGCGTAATCGACGGTTTTCCAGCGTGCTCATGCTTACCGAATTACGTTGGCCGTGCACCAAACTGTCGTCCCGAATGTGTCATTAACGAGGGATGTCCCGGGAACTTGGCGTGCCAGAACGAACAGTGCGTGGATCCGTGCCCAGGCTCTTGCGGCGTGAATACATATTGCAATGTTGTAAAACACAATCCTATCTGTATCTGTAACGAAGGCTACACCGGCAATCCGTTCACAGAATGTACACCCATCGTGGAAGGTATGTTTCTCACACGATTCAGATTTTGCAAAACGTATTTGTCACATTAAATTTTATTTTTGTTAATGATTATTTTATTAATAAACGCTTTATAATTATTTCCAGCGCCTATTACAACGGAGCAACCTCGCACACCGTGCAATCCATCGCCGTGCGGTGCTAACGCCGTGTGCAACGAGCGAAATGGCGTCGGATCTTGCACATGCCTGCCGCAGTACTTCGGCGACCCGTACATCGCCTGCAGACCCGAATGCGTGACTAACGCCGATTGCGACCGCAGCAAAGCCTGCCTGAACAACAAGTGCATCAATCCGTGCCCGGGTACATGTGGCCAGGATGCAACCTGCCGCGTCGTCAATCACGCACCGATGTGTTCCTGTTTGCCAGGCTACACCGGCGATCCGGTGAACGGCTGTACTATCTTGGAAATTGTGACGCCGCTGCCCGCGCCGACCGATCCTTGCGTACCGTCGCCGTGCGGACCCAACAGCAATTGCCGAACTCACGACGGTCACGCGGTGTGTCTGTGCCAGCCAGGATTCTCCGGCATTCCACCGAACTGCCGACCAGGTTGCATCGTCAGCTCCGAGTGCTCGCAGAACAAAGCGTGTATCAATAACAAGTGCGCGGACCCGTGTCCGGGCTCTTGCGGGCAGAACACCAACTGTCTCACGGTGAACCACAATCCTATCTGCAGCTGTGCCAGCGGCTACGTTGGCGATCCCTTCGTACACTGCACCAGGATCAGTACCATATCGCCGTTGCCGAAGGGAGAGGAAGACCCGTGCGTGCCGAATCCATGCGGCCCGAACTCGCAATGCAAAGTAGTCGGCTCGAGTCCGGCGTGCTCCTGCTTGCAGAACTACATCGGCCGTCCGCCGAACTGCAGACCGGAGTGCACCGATAACTCGGAATGCTTCAACAGCGCGGCGTGCATTAATCAAAGATGCAAGAGTCCTTGTCCTGGCGCTTGCGGCGAATTTGCCAGATGCACGGTGCAGAATCACGTTCCAATTTGCGCTTGCTCCGAGGGATACGAGGGCGATCCCACTGTGCGTTGCGTCCTAGCATCTCCACCAGGTGAGAAATTTCAATATTTAATGCACTGAGTTCTCAAAGAGAATGTTTCAACATATGATGCACTCTATTGTATGTATATGTTTACAGTGACAGACAAGCCTGTGTCGAATCCGTGCTCACCGAATCCTTGCGGCCCCAACGCGCAATGCCGCGAGAGAAACGGAGCAGGCGCTTGCATATGTCCACCTGATCTGATAGGTGATCCTTACGATGTCATCAGGGGATGCCATAAGGAATGCGAGACGAATAATGATTGCGCGCCGCAGCTGGCGTGTGTTGGCTTCAAATGCACAGATCCGTGTCCCAATTCGTGTGGAACGTTGTCCATATGTAACGTACAAGCGCACGTTCCTGTCTGCCTGTGCCCACCAGGATATACGGGAGATCCATACTTTGCTTGCGAGGTCGAGGAAATGACAAGTAAGTCCTGCATGATGGCACATTATTGATATCTGAAATATAAATATTTTGTATCAATATTTGGTAATATTTTTAGTTATCAGTTATGGAAGGAAAATATTAATGACAATAATTATCGAAAGTCACGCTTTATATATTCAAATAAATTATTTAATATAATTTTTACGTAAAAATACGATATTTTTTCATCAGAAACGTTGGAGCCATGCTCTCCATCACCTTGTGGACCCAACAGTAAATGCCGAGTTGTCAACGGTCAAGCTGTGTGCACTTGTTTACCAGAGTACAGAGGTATTCCACCATCATGCAGGCCAGAATGCATCGTTAATGCTGAATGTCCGCCACATCTGGCATGTGTAAACAAGAAATGCGCGGATCCTTGCCCGAACACCTGTGGACTGAGGGCGCAGTGTACTACGAAAAATCACAACCCGATCTGCACTTGTCCTGCTGGCTTCACGGGAGATCCTTTCACTTTATGCTCGCCACATGGTAAGCATCACGCATATTCTATTTACTATTTCCGTCTTAAGATTAACATGAAATTTTATAAATCCTATTTTAAATATAGTTATTTTTAATATTAATATAAATATTCCTTCCAAACATAAAAAGTATATAATAATTGTTTTCCAGTTACTAGCGATTATCCGATAACTGAGCGGCCACCGTCTTGCACCCCATCTCCTTGCGGTCCGAACTCTTTGTGTCAAATTATATCCGGCAATCCCGCGTGCTCTTGCCTGCCAAATTATATTGGCGTACCGCCGCAATGTCGACCCGAATGCATCTTGAGCTCCGAATGCAAGAGCCTTCTCGCTTGCGTCAATCAGAGGTGTGCGGATCCATGTCCGGGTTCGTGCGGAGTAAACGCTCAGTGTCACGTATTAAACCATTTGCCAGTTTGCACGTGTATAGAAGGTTTTACCGGAGATCCATTTACGCAATGCAGCATTATTCCGCCAGGTAAACGAAGTGTGCAATAAACACGAATAATTTAGCTTGTAAAAAATTAATTTTAAAAGAAAAAAATAGGCAAAATTTGGAATCTGCATGAAGTATCACGCGTTATTCTCATTATAAAATACACAATTTAATTATTTGTTTTTAATATAAATATTTTTATAGTTACAGTACCACCACCCATAGATCCTTGTGCTCTATCTCCATGTGGCCCGAACGCCATATGCGATAATGGCGAATGCAAATGCTTGCCCGAGTACATCGGTAATCCTTATGAAGCCTGTCGTCCGGAATGTATCCTCAATTCTGAATGCCCGCGCGATAAAACTTGTCTGAAGAATAAGTGCAAAGATCCGTGTCCCGGAATATGCGGTCAGAACGCACGGTGCGACGTGGTAAATCACATTCCCGTCTGCTCCTGTTCATCCGGCTACATAGGCGATCCGTTCGTCAGTTGCCGCGTTCAACCTAAAGGTACGCGAAGATATTCTGCAACTTCTTTTATTTGCTTCGATTGATATTATTGTAATTATATTGTTAGTTTTTAATTGTGTTATAAAATCAGCTCTCTTTGATAGCGAAATTAATTTTTATCCCTCATGCTGCAGTGCCAGATTCTCAAAGGGATCCATGCACGCCGTCGCCCTGCGGACCTAACAGTCAGTGTCGCAACATCGAGGATCACGCTGTGTGCTCTTGTATTCAAGGATACCTCGGTTCTCCGCCGTCTTGTAGACCGGAGTGTATTGTTAGCTCTGAGTGTCCACCAACACGAGCTTGCGTAAACAAAAAGTGCACGGATCCTTGTCTGGGTTCTTGCGGTTTGAACGCGAGGTGCGAAGTCATCAATCACTCGCCGATATGCAGTTGTCTGCCCGGACAGACTGGAGATCCGTTTAGGAGCTGTTACGACATTCCACGTAAGAAGCATTTATGTGATCACGAAGAGAATAATATTGATAATTTTGTGAAACAGTGATGTGTGTGTGTGTGTGTGTGTGTGTGTGTGCGTGTGTGTGTGTGTGTGTGTGTGTGTGTGTGTGTGTGTGTAGGATTTTAAAATTTATAATTAATTTGACTAATTATTAAGATTATAACGGAAAGAAAATATTTGCAATAGCTTCAAATGAAGTAAATTAACTAATAAATACTATGTTTATTTTAGTACCACTGGAGCCTAAGGATCATGGCGATCCTTGCAATCCTTCGCCATGCGGACCGAACGCGCTTTGTCAGAACGCAAACGGACAACCATCGTGTTCGTGTCTACCCTCGTACATCGGCATTCCGCCATCTTGTCGGCCGGAGTGTCTCATCAACCCTGACTGCCCTGCAGAAAAATCCTGCATAAATATGAAATGTAAAGATCCTTGCCCGGGATCCTGCGGAGACAACGCTGAATGCAAAGTAGTGAATCACGCTGTGACTTGTTCGTGTAAGATCGGATACACGGGCAATCCGTTTGTGCAATGTATATTAGAAGGTACGTTGTTTATTAATCAATTCTTTCAGCACAAAGCTCTGCAGTGTCTTAAATTTGTTGTATTATTAATTAATTAAATGCTTGATATTTTTTCTATAGAGGAAACGATAAATCCGTGCGAGCCTTCGCCGTGCGGAGCCAACGCGATCTGTCAGCAGCGAGATAACGCAGGAGCCTGCATATGCATCGAGGACTATCACGGAAATCCTTACGAAGGCTGTCAACCGGAGTGTGTCCTCAGCGCGGATTGTCCCACGAACAAGGCTTGCGTTCGCAATAAATGTAAAGATCCTTGCCCAGGCGTATGCGGCATCCGGGCGCAGTGCTCAGTGATCAATCACATTCCTACGTGCACTTGCGAACCTGGATACATCGGAGACCCGTTCACAATTTGCACGCTTCAACTGGAAGTGGACACCGAATCTACCGTCAGAGACCCGTGCTCGCCCTCACCCTGTGGACCGAACAGCTTATGCCGCGCGATAAACGATCAAGCCGTATGCACGTGTCAAGAATCCTTCGTGGGTGCCCCACCGAACTGCAAGCCGGAATGCGTTGTCAATTCGGAGTGTCCGCAAAGTAAAGCGTGTTACAAATATAAATGCACGGATCCGTGCCCCGGCACTTGCGGAGTGGAAGCCAATTGCCGTGTCATCAATCACAATCCGCTCTGCAGTTGTCCGCAAGGAAAGACGGGCGATCCCTTCTCCAGATGTTTCCCTGAACCCGGTAATTATCGATATTTCTAATTAATAATTGTGTAACAATCATGAACTTGCTTTAATTATTTTTATAAGTGTAAGAATTACAACGTGAATCGACTATGTTATAAAAGTTACATTGTTTTTCTATTTATTTGTTTAATGTCTTGCAATACTTCTTAATGTTTACAGTTATGCCGTTACCACCAGTGGATCCTTGTTTCCCTAGTCCTTGTGGACTCTACGCGGAGTGTAAAGTTGTAAACAATCAAGCCGCATGCAGCTGTTTGAAAAATTACATTGGAATACCGCCCAATTGTCGCGCAGAATGCGTAGTTAACACAGATTGCGCATCGGATCAAGCTTGCATCTCAGAAAAATGTCGCGATCCATGCATCGGCTCTTGCGGCCAGAATGCTGATTGCCGAGTTCAGAATCACATACCAGTCTGCTTATGTCAACCTGGCTATTCTGGCGATCCCTTCTCTCTATGCACTGTAATTAGGGGTGCGTATTTTTATATTATATAAAATTTTCAGAACGTATGCGTTGATAATCAATTGTAAAAAATATTTATCTCTAAAACAGTAATAATTTCTTGGTATACAACAAATATACTAAGAAAAAAATAAATATAGTTTCTCTAGTTTTTGATCAGTGCTCGATTATCGTAATTGTTTTACATAGAATTATTTCAGATGTTTTATTATCGATGTATTAATATTACAGAACAACCAAAGATCCCTGAAGATTTGTGCAATCCGTCTCCTTGCGGGCCTAATGCGGAATGCAATGAAGGTGTATGCACTTGTCTTCGTAATTACTTCGGAGATCCATACTCGTACTGTCGACCAGAATGCACGATGAATTCTGATTGTCCTCGCATCAAAACGTGCATCAATCAAAACTGCGTAGATCCTTGCCCGGGCACGTGCGGTCGTGATGCACGTTGCGACGTTGTCAATCACGTTCCAATGTGTAGCTGTCCACCTGGCTACACCGGAAATCCGTTCCTTCTGTGTCGACCACATATACCAGATGGTAAGTTCATAAATATGTATTAATTTTTTATCATGTTTTTTTTTAATCATATCTAAAGTAAAATATTTTTAAAATGATAAATACATTTGTTAAGTTTTATTTTTTTGCGTTTTAAGTTAATTATTTGTAATAAATATTACGCATATATATTATTCGCAGATACTATTAAACAACCATGCAGTCCTTCGCCTTGCGGACCAAACAGCATCTGCAAAGCTGTAAGTGGTCATGCTGTATGCTCGTGCCAGCCTGGTTTAATTGGTAGTCCACCCGCCTGTAGACCAGAATGTGTGGTCAGTGCCGACTGTCCATTGACACAAGCGTGCCTGAATAACAAATGTCAAGATCCATGCCCAGGCACCTGTGGACAGAATACAAATTGTCAAGTAGTCAATCATAATCCGATATGCAGCTGCTCTGAATCTTACACGGGCGATCCCTTCACTATATGCTATCCACAGCCGAGTAAGTCGTTTAGATTTTTTTCTCATCTCTCGTTTATCATTGTTAACTATTTCGTAATTGAATTTATTAATTGTGTCCTTTAACTTGGAGATAAAAGAAATAAATTATAAAGCAGTCAGAACAATCTGTCAAATTTCTAAGTGTTAAATGTTGTCTTCTCATTTAAAAACTTGTTTGCAGAAACACCGCCTGCGCCGATAAACCCGTGTCAGCCATCGCCTTGCGGTCCTAACGCGGAATGTCAAGTGAGAGGTGACAGTCCTGCGTGCTCGTGCATCGAAAATTACATCGGTTTGCCGCCGAATTGTAGGCCGGAGTGCACTATCAATCCCGAGTGTCCGCCGCAGTTAGCGTGCATGCAACAAAAGTGCCGCGACCCGTGCGTCGGTCTGTGCGGTTTGAACGCGCAGTGCTCAGTAGTGAATCATCATGCGGTTTGTGCGTGTATCGCCGGATACAACGGAAATCCATTCAGCGCTTGCGAACGAATACCCGAGGGTGAGTACACGTCGACGTATTTTTTATTCCTTTTTGTTGCAATCCCTCCCGCAAATATCGCCGTTTGCATGTGGCGCGGCAGGTAAGTGCTTCTTACCTCAGTAAAATGTGACTAATGATAATAAATCAAGACGGCAATTTAAAGTTTAATCATTGTGTCAATAAACTCATTAATTTATCGTTAATGAACGTTTTGTTAACGTTGACAATTTTAGTTATTAAAATTTTGTGAGATTTCTCACGATGTTACGTCGAGTATGAGCTATCAAATATTTTCAAGATTTGATACAGCTTTAAAAATTATTTAATAGATACCACCGTCCTGCTCCATTATTATTAGACACGTATGTCTGCGTAATTCTAGAAGCGCATTTATTCCAGATCGAATACTAGATCGAAACGAGTCTTAATAAGAACCGTCGCATTAGCTTAATGCGAGAATATGTGTGCGATAGCAGCACAGTGACAAAGAGGCCTTAATAGAAAATGACGACAAGTCATTTGTGAGGTGGTGGGGCCTATAAATGTTAGGCTCTTAATTGCACTCACTCCCGATTAAGTCAATAACATGAGATGATGTATACGTGTTCCCCGAATCCCTAATGATTAACAGAAGAAATAATGCGGCACGCACTCACCCCCATGCCTGAGCGTACTGACCCACAATTCCTAATGCAGGAAAACAATAATGATAAATAATTACAAAAGATGGTGGCGGGGCCTATAAGCTCCATAGGCTCTTGACTGCACTCATCCCTAATGAACACAGAACGATAGAACCATAATCCGTTGCGATTAATTGCATAATTGTTTACGCACGCACTGACCTATCAAAAGCGAATCCGTTAATGACCCACTTACATGTATAAGAGCACTCTGACCCTTGACATATGCTGCGGACCTCCCAATAATCATACTGCACATGCCGAAATCCTGAAATAAATCAATAAAAATGCTGTTATAAAGAGAAACAATTTAACAAACCCGTCAAAAAAACCACCTAAAATAGAATAGCAGTCCCGTCCCCGAAGAAATAATATTAGTCGCCAAGAGACAGACTAACCAAATTTTGCTGTCAACTGCCATATCCTGCACTGTGTAATTAACTCGATAAATTACGTTGGTCGAATTAATCAAATTTATTCGATTGCGGATGAAACACGCTTGAGGAAATAATTGAAATTGATTTTTACATACATGAAATATTCATCAACAATGGATAATTGAAATTAAAACCACGCATTACATCGCACTACCATACAAAGCTTCCTGCTTATTTAAGAATTCGATTTCATTGAAAGAGTGAAGCGAGAATATGAGAACATATGAGAGGAAAAGCCTTTACCCTAGCACCAGCTTTGAAATAGAACGCTGCATGTGTTTGATTAAGTTTAAGTGAAATTTCTCTTTTTATCAGATACGCCCCTAGACATTAGAAAACCATGCGAGCCTTCGCCGTGCGGCGTCAATGCTATCTGCCGCGAAAGCAATGGTGTTGGCTCGTGTACCTGTCTGCCGGACTATCTAGGTGATCCCTATCAAGAATGCAGACCCGAATGCACGCAAAATTCTGACTGTTTGACGAGAATGGCGTGTGTGAGCCTGAAATGCAAAGACCCTTGTCCAGGAACATGCGGAGTCAATGCCCAATGCCAATCGGTTAATCATCTGCCGATCTGTACTTGCATTCCCGGCTATACTGGCAACCCCTTCACATACTGTTCCCTGATAGTTCAAGACAGTAAGCCTCATTTCCAGATTTTATTTGTCGCATTTCATCGAATGATCATCATACGTCATAAAATTATATTTGGATCATTTAAATACTCTGAAAATTTAATTAGAACAAACTTGGATTATTTATCACTGCTCCTCATTAAATCGGTCAAACTAAATAATGCATTTCTAATTTAGCTATACAAAATAAGGAATAATAATATTAAATTGTTTATTGTTATTTTTTATTGGTACAATATATTTTTTAATAATCAGATTCAAAGATATATTTGAAATATTTTTTAATTTCTACCACAATTTCTAATATAAATTAGAATTTATTATGTTTTAAATAGCATTAATCATTTTCTTTATTCATAATTTTTTTAATGTTTTTTTTTATTTCTGAAAAACAGTATATTTTTTTTTGCTTGCTATTTTAAATTCGAAAACACTAATTAGAAAGCGACATTGCCATTCAAAATGGTCTGTAAAAATGGTCTGTGCATAACAATATTTCTCTCCGTACAGTCCTTCCAGAAATAAACCCATGCAGCCCATCTCCCTGTGGACCAAACAGCAAGTGTCGTGATATAAACCGCCTTGCTGTTTGCACCTGTCTCCCGAATTTTATCGGCAATCCTCCCAACTGTCGTGCCGAATGCGTGGTGAACAGTCAATGCTCTCCGGATCTCGCTTGCATCAATCAGAAATGTACATCGCCCTGCCCGGACCCGTGTGGAATAAATACCCAGTGCAAAGTGATTAATCACAGCCCGATTTGCACCTGCAATCTCGGTTACACTGGAGATCCTTTCTTGAGATGTTTCCCCGCGCCACGTAAGAACTTTATCTCTTTCATCAGCTTTATTCACTTATGCCATAAGTCACCATCGCCCTTAATCTTTCACATATATGTAATTCGATTATGGCTTAATTTCGATAATTGATGTTACGAAGAGCGCTGCGCTCTTAACTGACGTAACACGCCATAACATTAATACTCACAATTTTTTGCTATATATGACAAACATATATAAGCAGTGCAATCATCCGACACACACGATATTTCATCATTTTCTCGCACTCGCATTACAAATTGAACACATTTTATGTTGCAAGTGAACTTTCAGAAATGTGTAGCTCGTTATGCCATTTTTATTTGGATTTCAGAAGTACTAGATTTCCCTATAGCCCCCAAAGACCCGTGCGTACCGTCCCCGTGCGGTATGTACGCGGAATGCAGAAATATCGGCGGTACAGCATCGTGCTCCTGTTCGCCGACCTACAGAGGATCACCGCCAAATTGTCGCCCCGAATGCCGCATCAATTCCGATTGCCCGATGAATCTTGCCTGCGGCAACGAGAAATGCAGAGATCCCTGCTTAGGCTCTTGCAGTATTACTTCATTATGCACAGTCTATAATCACGTACCAGTATGCACCTGTCCCGAGGGATACACCGGTGACCCCTTCAGCAATTGTTATCTGAAACCGATTGCAAGTAAGGGATACCCTGCAGCCAAAATTGCGAAAGATTTGTCTCGAAGGAAATTGTCTCCGCGAATTATAACGCGCGTTGTTTCTTTACGCCTCTTGTATACTTTAATTTGGCTCTGGATGCTAAATATTTCTAACAATGAACGTAATTTTTTTTATAAAAGTTCCGTAAATATTACTTTGGAATTTTTTAAAAGTTTTTTTACACTTTTATATTGTTGTACGACACGAGTAAAATATGAATGCAAAATGTGTTGATTAAATGTCTGGAATTGTGTGGAAAGAAACTTGCGCGTTACATTTCGCGAGATTTCGTTCCGAGATGTTAAATGGCTAGCTCTTCAACTTTGCATTCTTTTATAGCTGCACCTACAATTAGCGACCCGTGCGATTTGAATCCTTGTGGACCGAATGCCCGATGCAACAATGGTATCTGCATATGCTTGCCCGAATATCAGGGTGATCCTTACGTAGGATGCCGTCCCGAATGTATTACAAATATCGATTGCGCTCACAATCGGGCGTGCATTCGCAACAAATGTGTGGATCCTTGTCCGGGCACATGCGGCCGAAATGCATTGTGTTCCGTGTATAATCACGTACCGATGTGTACTTGTCCGGCCGGAATGGCCGGTAATGCCTTCGTTCAATGTTCCGTTCTCCAAGGTACAGTTAATGCAGTCAAATCTTGTACGACAAAAGTGCTTCAGTTGCATTATCTCGATAATGATAATCGTAGATTCTGTCTTTTTGATGTTTTAAGTATGAATTTTTTTTCCCCATTAATGATGTTTAAACAATATGTTGATCAAATCGTTCTGCTATTATCGTTATTGACATTCTGTTTCCTGATGTCTTTGAGAACGAAGTATAAGTATTACCAATATGTCGAATGTAGATACCCCGCAAGGAAATCCTTGCTCGCCCTCGCCCTGCGGACCCAACAGTGTTTGCCGAGAAAATAACGGGCAACCTGTGTGCTCGTGTGTGACGGGATTCCTTGGCGTACCGCCAGCATGCAGACCTGAATGCACTATCAGTGCCGATTGTCCTCTGACGGAAGCTTGCAGCAATCAGAAATGCATCAATCCTTGCCTCGGCGCGTGCGGAATACGAGCCACATGTCAAGTGATCAATCACAATCCCATTTGTAGCTGCGGAGAACTAATCGGAGACCCATTCATTCAATGCACTCCACGACGTAAGATATTCTTGAGCAAGCATCGTGAAAAGTTGTTAGGAATACAATTGATTTTGATGATCCTAATGCCGATAAACAGTACAAAAAATATTTTACTTAAAATTTCTGTACGATTGAAGCACATTATCAGAGATGGGCTTAGCAGAAACAAAACTGTTTGCAATTACTTTACATACATTTTATAAAAAATTTCAAAAATTTTTTATTAAGAGAATTTCACTTCACTTTTCTAATATTTCTAGCAATTTATGCAACATGACCAGAGCGATCATAACGCAGAATTTTTGAGCTTATTTATTTTCAAAATAACTTTTTTTTTTATTAGCACTCGAACCGGTGATACCAACAAACCCCTGTGTGCCGTCCCCTTGCGGAGCGAACGCTGAGTGTCGAATTGTAGGCGATGCGTTCTCGTGCTCATGTCTAGCTGGATTCCTCGGTACACCGCCGAATTGTAGGCCGGAATGTATTAGCAACAGCGAATGCCCCTCTCACTTGGCATGTATAAATCAGAAATGCAGAGATCCTTGCGAAGGCTCGTGCGGAGCTAATGCTGAATGTCGTGTAGTGAGTCACACACCTATGTGCGTTTGCCCTAGCGACTTCACTGGCGATCCGTTCACACAGTGTACAATAAAGCCACGTAAGCATCGATTGGTTTTAAACTTTAGCCATGCGATTTAACTTTGAAAGATGAAACAAAACTGAAATTTTTAATTGATCGTAGAACCATATTTTCTGGCACAATGTAAATTTTTTTTCTAATCTTTCTCGAGAATCTATTGTTAGAGATTGTGCGACGAGATTTAAAATATTTCCTATTGATATCTTTATATTCTTTCCAGCCGTATCACTCGCAGTGTCGCCTTGTAAGCCGTCACCTTGCGGTTTTAATGCTATCTGCAAGGAACAGCACGGTGCTGGATCCTGTTCTTGCCTACCTGATTATGTCGGCAATCCTTATGAAGGATGTCGACCGGAATGCGTTGTTGATACAGATTGCATATCTACATTTGCTTGCATACAATCGAAATGTAAAGATCCGTGCCCCGGTGTTTGTGGACAATTCGCTGAATGTCAAGTTATTAATCATCGACCTTCTTGCACATGTATTCCCGGTTATAGCGGTAATCCCTTCCAGTACTGCATCGTGTTCCGTGACACTGGTACGAATATTTACTTAAATATTAACGCAACAAATCCTTTTATTTCAATCTCTTTATTTATTCCTGTTGTGTTCAGTTCAAATTTTTTGTCTACATACTTTTCGTGTATCTTGCCTAATTGTGAAGTTGCAATATTTAAATATTTTCTTTTTGTTTAACATTTTTTTTGTACTTATTAATTTAATTTTTGTTAAGAACAGATACATAATTAGATTCCAATACTTTTACAAATGGATAATATTTAGAAACAATTTTTCTTTTTAATGAATTAAATTAAATTTTTCTTAAAGTATTAAATTTTAAACAATTTTGTTTAATAATAATCTCTAGAAAGATTTGAAAGATACATATATCTATTATTTTAGTCGAAACTCCGAAGGATGTGTGCAATCCATCGCCTTGCGGACCCAACAGCCAATGCCGTGTTAATAATAATCAAGCAGTTTGTTCTTGCCTTCCGACTTTCATCGGTAGTCCACCCGCATGTCGCCCTGAATGCGTGACAAGCTCAGACTGTCCGCTTACACTTGCTTGCGTGAATCAAAAGTGTCAAGATCCTTGCCCTGCCTCGTGCGGTAGAAATTCAAATTGCAGAGTCATCAAACATAATCCGATCTGCTCTTGCAAAAACGGCTATACTGGCGATCCATTTACTGTCTGCTTCCAAACGCCCGGTACGAAGTCTGAATTTTGTAAAACATTTTTTTTTTCACAAATATCTTATCAATTTGAATCCATTTATTTGGAAAAAAAATACATTCGATATCGATATAGCGTTCAGCTTGAACATACTGAATGCTATTCTGACATCAAATATATAACTAAATAATTTTTTCTGAAAATAATTATTGATAATATTCAACAAATGTTTAGCACAATAAAAATTAATTTCTTTTTCCTTTGATTATCGTTCGCAAGAATACTATATCGAAATTGAGGTGTAATACGTGCAATTAATTATAATTACGGTTAGTTTATAGCTTGGAAATTATTTATTATCATAATTGCAGTGAGTCCACCCATTGTAAATGACATTGTGAGAGACCCATGTGTACCGTCGCCTTGCGGTGCATTTTCTGAATGCCGTGACATAGGAAGAGTCCCATCATGTTCTTGTTTACCAACGTACAGAGGCAGTCCGCCAAATTGTAAACCAGAATGCACGGTTAATATAGAATGTCCAGCCAATATGGCTTGCATGCAGCAAAAATGTAGAGATCCCTGTCCGGGTTCATGCGGCATAATGGCCGAGTGTAGTGTCATAAATCACGTGCCGATTTGCTCATGTTTGCCCGATTACACCGGCGATCCTTTCACCGCGTGTTCCATAAATTCAAGTAAGATTCTCCATCAGAAATACAAAATCATAATACTTTTTTTTTCTTGTGATAAAATAACTGATCCTTTTTTTTCACACGACATTATTACAGTTGTTCCAATATCTAAACCGGATCCATGCACACCTACACCTTGCGGACCCAATGCGCAATGTAACGGAGGAGTTTGCACTTGCATAGTGGAATATTTCGGGGATCCTTACAGTGGCTGTCGCCCAGAATGCGTATTGAATAACGATTGTCCGAACACGCAAGCATGCGTGCGAAACAAATGCATAGATCCCTGTCCAGGCATCTGTGGCCAAAATGCTGTGTGCAATGTATACAATCATGTTCCTATGTGTAGTTGTCCCTCAGGAATGGATGGAAATGCCTTTGTCTTGTGTTCTCCCGTCACAGGTATTTTTAAAAAATTCACAAATGTAACAGTTGGCATCTTAAAATATTCGTTTGATTTTCTTCAATTATCGTATGTGCACATTTTTAGTACATCACACATCTTTAATTAAATTTTTTCCTAATCGTGTTATAGTAACTCCCGTTAGCGACCCTTGTAATCCGTCGCCATGTGGCCCGAACAGTCAATGTCGGCAAAATAATATGCAGGCTGTGTGCAGTTGCATAACCGGATTTGTCGGAGCACCTCCGACTTGCAGGCCCGAATGTGTAATTAGCTCAGATTGTCCAAAGAACGAGGCGTGTACCAATCAAAAATGTCGAGATCCATGTCCAGGAAGTTGCGGACGCAACACAATTTGCAACGTTATTAATCACAATCCCGTTTGTGTTTGTCGTCCTGGAATGACCGGAGATCCGTTTATCAATTGCTTCCCACTTCGTAAGAATTTTTATCTTTTGAGAATATTTGTAAAAAATTTTGAATTATTTTCCGTGATTTATTTCCTTTGATTATTTCGGATATATATCATACATAAAGTTTAAATGCGATCAATTATACGGAATTAATTAATGCGGTAATTAATAATGATTATATACGGTATCAATTAATTATTCGTGATTATCTTTAAAGCTGCGGAACCATTACCCGTGCTCAATCCCTGTCAACCATCGCCATGCGGACCAAACGCGCAATGCCAAGTGATAAATGATCAAGCCTCTTGCTCGTGCCTGCAAGAATTTATCGGATCGCCTCCGAATTGTCGATACGAGTGTATCAGCAATAGCGAATGCTCAAACAAAATGGCCTGCATTAACCAAAAATGTCGCGATCCATGTATCAACGCGTGTGGAATCAATGCCGTTTGCAATGTTGTTAGTCACACGCCGATGTGTGCGTGTACACCCGGTTACACTGGCGATCCATTTACACAGTGCTCTCCCCAACAATGTAAGAGAATTATCGACTTTTTTCTGAATATTTAAATATTCAAATATTCTTACTTGATTTCTATTAATTTTTAATTTTTTTGTTTAGATTTGTCTAAAAGATATTGTTATATATAACATTAGATTATAAGGTTAGAAATCATAATTTATTAATTAATAGATTCACCTTTTAATTTAATTTCACCTTTATTTTAGTCGACATACAACCTAGTATACCCACACCGTGCACGCCATCTCCGTGTGGTGCGAATGCAATATGCAGAGTGCAGCAAAACGCTGGTTCTTGCTCATGTTCGCCCGATTATGTGGGCAATCCTTACGAAGGATGCAGACCCGAATGTACACTTAATTCTGACTGTCCGTCTAATCAAGCGTGCATTGGTTTGAAGTGCAAAGATCCATGCCCAGGAACGTGTGGCCAGAACGCGCAATGTTACGTGATTAATCATTCACCGACTTGCACGTGTTTCGAACGATACACAGGAAATCCATTTATATTCTGCAATCTTATCCCTGAAACTCGTAAGAGATTGTTAAAATTTATCTATCGCGTCTTAAAAGTGATTATATGGCTAATATTGATTTTCTTACAGCGATTGTATACGATAATGTCGATCCTTGTCAAATATCTCCTTGCGGACCGTACAGTCAATGTAAACCGAGCAATGGCCAAGCTGTTTGCTCTTGCCTTCCAACTTATATCGGCGCACCGCCCGGTTGTAGACCCGAGTGCACTGTTAGCACAGATTGCCCGACAAATCGAGCTTGTGAAAATAATAAGTGCGTTGATCCTTGCCCCAACTCGTGTGGTCAAGGAACGACGTGTAGAGTTGTGAATCATAGTCCAATATGTATATGTAAACCCGGATTCAGCGGTGATCCATTCATACGCTGTTCATTTGTACAACGTAAGCGAAGCAGACTTTATTTACTTTTTTAACATACATGATTATTTTTTTTTTGTTTATTATTTTCGTATTTTAAAAAATGTTTTGCTATTTTTTTGTATAATACTTTTTGCGTCAAAATTTATTTTTGGTTTTAATTTAAAGTTTTTATTAAACGAAATAACAAGATTATATATTTTTTAAATGTTAAATATTACATAAAATTACATAGAACATTCTATATCTTTAATTTTAAAAATAATTCTATATAATTTTTTAATATTTTAGTTTCTGAATTTAGAGATTTTACTTTAAATTTTAGCTACTCCAACACCAAGCCCACCCTCGGATTCTTGCATACCATCTCCGTGTGGACCTAATTCGCAGTGTCGCAATGTCAACGGTTATCCCTCATGCTCTTGTATGATTAATTACATTGGTACACCGCCTAACTGTCGACCGGAATGCGTCATTCCCGCCGATTGCCCGAGCAATCAGGCTTGCATTCGCGAAAGATGTCAAGATCCATGTCCAGGTTCTTGCGGCCTGAATGCTATTTGTACTGTTCACAATCACATTCCAATCTGCAGATGCATAGAAAGTTACACTGGCGATCCGTTTACCGGTTGTCAACCTATACCGATCAGTAAGTTATGTCAAAGTTTTTTTCATTTATCACGAGCGTTTCGCGCTATGTGATGGAAATTGACAATTGCTATGATGTAGAAGATGAACCAGTGCAGAAACCCGACCCATGCAGCGCGTCACCCTGCGGACCAAATGCCCGATGCACTAATGGCATTTGCAATTGCCTGCCTGAATACTTTGGCGATCCTTATATTGGCTGTCGCCCAGAATGCGTATTCAGTACAGATTGCTCCATCGACAGGGCGTGTATACGAAATAAATGTGTAGATCCTTGTCCGGGTACTTGTGGACAAAATAGCTTATGCAACGTGATAAATCATACACCGATGTGCAGTTGTCCCCCTGGTACCGCCGGAAATGCATTTATCTCTTGCAACATAATGAGAGGTACGAAATGAAAAATCGAAATCTGACCCACATATTTGAAAGTATATTAATGATATTGTCTCATCGCCTAGTTCCTCCCGTGACAAGACCGTGTAATCCGAATCCCTGCGGTCCGAACAGCATATGTCGAGAATTAAATGGACAAGCAGTGTGCAGCTGTGCGCCAGAATTCCTTGGATCGCCGCCCCTCTGCCGACCCGAGTGTACCCTCAGCTCCGACTGTCGGCAAAACGAAGCTTGCGCCAATCAGAAATGCAAGGATCCTTGTCCCGGAACATGCGGCATTCAAGCGAGATGCGTAGTCGTCAATCACAATCCTGTCTGCTCGTGTCCCGAACGATTTACAGGCGATCCGTTTATCAGATGTGACGTCATAAGTAAGACAGTCTCGATTCGAAGATGCTCTAAACAATCCCCATGATCGCTTACTAAAGCCGAAACGTTATTATTGATTTATTTAGAACCAGTAGAGCCTATAAACCCTTGTCAACCCTCGCCCTGCGGTCCGTACGCTCAGTGCCAGGTCATTAACGATTTGCCATCCTGCTCGTGTCTGCCCGAGTACAAAGGCTCGCCCCCGTATTGTCGACCTGAGTGCGTCTCCAATCCCGAGTGCCCCAGCCACCAGAGTTGCGTGCGGCAAAAGTGCAAAGATCCCTGCCCAGGTTTATGCGGGGAGAGTGCGGAGTGCCATGTAGTACAACATATACCTCATTGCGTCTGTTCCTACGGTCTCACCGGTGATCCGTACACGCGCTGCTCGGTGATAAGTAAGGGAACCTTGAAACTAGTTGTCCTTAACAATTTGAGTGATGTCGCTTAACCCTTTTGCCCTTTACCCTGTTTTAGCACACGAACAACCGGAACCAGAACTGTTGTCGCCCTGCGCAAGTTTTGAATGCGGCGCAAACGCGATATGTAGAGAGAGAGACGGTGTCGCAGTTTGTCAGTGTACCTCTAACTATGTTGGAAACCCGTATTTAGCATGCCGACCCGAATGTGTCATTAATCCCGATTGTCCGCCCAACTTGATGTGCGTAAGAAACAAGTGTGTCAATCCTTGCGCCGGCATGTGCGGTCAGAACGCCGAATGCTCCGTTGTCAGTCATCAACCGATGTGCACATGCCTCCCTGGATATACTGGTGACCCCTTCGTTACTTGTTCCATACATAGTAAGTGTCCTTAATCATACAAACGCCAATTCTGTTTAGCAGAACTTTTTTTATAACAAATTATATACACATATATATAATTGCCTTACACTTTTTTTCGGTCTTTACATTAATCTTATTGCAGTAAATATTAAGATATTAAAACCATTAAAAGTTAAGAAGTTTTATATGATGCCATTAATTAATATTTTTATTTGCAAAGAATTTTATTTATTTTGTGAGAAAAGAAATTTGAGATATAAAAAATGTGATAAAATTTTTCAAAATTTTAAAGAGATTAAATTTATGATACTATACATTTTATTTCTATATATTTAAAGTAATGATTTTGAAAGATAAATTACTCTAAAAAAACTAACGATATATTAATAATCAGAGCTAACTACTGACAATTTTATATAATAATTAAAACTTTATAACATTGCTTTTAAGAATTAAAAAAAACCAACTTTTTAAAAAAACTTGTTATTGATGCATATATGTTTATCTGTGCACGTTGCATTAATGCATTAACTTTTTCCCAGAAATAATCTCAGACGAGAACGTTTGCTCCCCGTCACCCTGCGGACCCAACAGCAAATGCAAAGATGTATCTGGACAGGCTGTCTGTTCATGCCTCCCGACCTATATTGGAACTCCACCTGCGTGTAGACCTGAATGTGTCGCTAGCTCAGAATGCCCTCCGCAATTAGCATGCAAGGATTACAAATGTGTAAACCCCTGCCCAAGCCCATGCGGACTCCATTCCAATTGCGTGGTCGTTAATCACAGCCCTATCTGCAGTTGTATGTCCGGTTACAGTGGAGACCCGTTCACCATATGCACGTTAATTCCACGTAAGATCGCATTGAATACACGAAGAATTATATGTCTTAACCCAATTAATTTATATCGCTCATTTTTTTTTTTTTTGTTCTCATCAACCGTAATTTCGAATATCTTTCAGCTTTTACGCCACCAGGCCCGGTAGAGAAAGACCCTTGTGTGCCATCCCCGTGCGGTAGTTTCTCCCAGTGCAGAAATATCGGTGGTTCTCCCGCGTGTACCTGCTTGGAGAATTACATGGGTCAACCGCCGAATTGCAGGCCCGAATGTACCATAAACCCAGAGTGCCCGAATGATAAGGCCTGCATTAACATGAAGTGTATGGATCCATGTCCCGGTTCGTGCGGCACCAATGCCCTATGTTCAGTCATTAACCACATTCCATCGTGCAGATGCCCAGAGGGGTACACCGGGAATACATTTGCCCTTTGTGAGCTGTTACCGCCAATATGTAAGCGTCACTAACCACCCATGTAGCATCGGCGGATCTCGGAACCACGTTCGAGACTCGACTCGAGCTCGTTAACTCCTACATCGATTGTATTTTCCAGCGACTCCAATTGAAGACGCCTGTGTCCCGTCACCCTGCGGTCCCAATGCAGAATGCTTTGACGGTGTTTGTACCTGTCTGCCGGAGTTCCGGGGAGATCCTTACGCAGGTTGCCGGCCCGAATGCGTCCTAAATGACGATTGCCCCCGTGATAGAGCGTGTGTGCGTAACAAATGCCTGGACCCGTGCCCCGGAGCGTGCGCCGTTAACGCACTGTGCACTGTGATCAATCACGTCCCCATGTGTAGTTGTCCTGGAAATATGACCGGCAATGCGTTCAGCCAGTGCACATTTTTACAAGGTACATCACGTCCCATTGTTTATGACAATCTCTTGGCTTCAACGCTGTGCAAAGTGATTTCACGCTCTTCCGTGAACGATTCGCCGGAGATTTAAATGTCCATTATTTTTGTACACCAGACATGCCACCCGCTAATCCGTGCGCCCCTTCACCCTGCGGACCGAACAGCGAGTGTCGCGTTATAAACAACCAAGCGGTCTGTTCATGCATAAGAGGATATCTAGGTAGCCCTCCGACCTGCAGACCCGAGTGCATAGTCAGCACGGATTGCCCGCAGAATGAGGCTTGTAGCAACCAGAAGTGTACGAACCCTTGCCCAGGAAGTTGTGGACTAGGCGCCCTGTGTCACGTGGTGAATCACAATCCGATTTGCGTTTGCCCTCCCTCTCAGACAGGCGATCCGTTTGTTAGATGTTACCAGCCACGTAAGTAACGCTCACCATCTGCAGCCGGCGATCTCGATAGAATGTTTTTTAATTCTTTTTTTCTTTATTTATGCTGTATCAAATTTGCCCTTTTAGCTCCAGCACCAGTAACCCCCACGCCGTGCAAACCAAGCCCGTGCGGTCCTAATTCGCTTTGCCGACCGCGAGGTGACGAATCTGAATGCTCATGTTTGCCCGATTTCATCGGCAGTCCGCCTAATTGCAGAGCGGAGTGCATTAGTAATAGCGAGTGTTCCAATCACTTAGCTTGTATCAATCAGAAATGTCAAGATCCGTGCATTGGTTCCTGCGGTGCGAACGCTAATTGCCACGTCGTTAGTCACACCCCAATGTGTTCTTGCGTGAACGGTTACACGGGTGATCCATTCACGCAATGCGTCTTCAGAGAGCGTAAGTACCATTCAAAAACTCGTATAATCGTCGGTGATTATGTTCGATGTTGTGATTATAAAAAGTGCATCGTATTATTGCGACATATAAACGATCATTTCACGTCTACAACATTAAAGCAGAAATCACGGAAATTATACTGATATCGTTTATCCGAGGACAGATATCTTTCTTTTTGTTATGAATTCCACATTTATTGATATCATCTTTTAGCCACACCACTGCCTGCGCCTGTCGATCCTTGTACTCCCTCTCCTTGCGGCTCTAACGCGGTGTGCAAGGAACTCAACGGTGCTGGTTCATGTGCATGCTTGCCGAATTACATCGGTAACCCGTACGAAGGATGCAGGCCGGAATGCGTTCTAAATTCGGATTGCCCCGCCAGTCTGGCTTGCATAAATACGAAATGTCGAGATCCGTGCCCAGGATCATGTGGCCGCAATGCGTTATGCCAAGTGGTCAATCATTTACCGGTGTGCAACTGTTATCCCAGATATACGGGCAACGCCTTCTTATATTGCAGTCCGACAGAGATAGGTACGACACGCTGAAACTGAATGCAGATATCAATTGTTCGGTTGATCGCGAGATGCACAATATTGTATAATAATTTTTAGAAGGAGACGATGCCATTAGTCGCCCTTGCGAACCGTCACCCTGTGGACCCAATAGCAGGTGTCGCGTGGTAGATAACACAAGTGTCTGCACTTGTTTACCTTCCTTCCTCGGCAGTCCACCAAACTGCCGCCCCGAGTGCACCGTCAGTGCCGAATGCGCCTTCAATCAGGCGTGCATCAAGAATAAATGCAGCGATCCCTGCCCTGGATTGTGCGGTACTAATACGAGATGCGAAACAATCAATCACAACCCCATATGTTCGTGCCGACTTAGTTTCACCGGTGATCCATTTGTTGCCTGTTTCGAAATGCCACGTAAGAATCATTTAAAAAATTGGATATTAAGTAGAATAACTCAATTTTCACAAGAGATTGCAGAGATATTTTATCAAATTTTGAATATATCTTTCTTAACAAATTTTTTCAGTGTTATGTTCCGCTCTGTTACGTTCTAAAAATTAGTAACTTTTCTATTAAATAAAAAATACTTTTGATTTGCCTATTGATTAAAAAAAAAAAATTTTTTTTTAACAGCATTTAAAGAACAAAAGTGTATAACAGATACATTTATATGTTTATAGCGAAAGATGAAGAGCTTCGGCCTCTTGTGAACCCTTGCGCACCTTCACCCTGTGGACCTTTCTCAGAATGCCGTGATATTAACGGCCAAGCGTCCTGCGCTTGCTTGCCAACGTATATAGGAACACCACCCAATTGCAGGCCCGAATGTTCTATTAATTCAGAATGTCTGAGCAATCAGGCGTGTATACAGAGAAAGTGCAGAAATCCTTGCGATGGAGTATGCGGAGTAGGAGCAATTTGTAATGTCATTAATCACTTCCCCGCGTGCTCCTGTCCCAGTGGATTCACTGGGGATCCATTCGTAGTATGTAGACCGCTTCCCGAGGAAGGTAAGATAATCAGATGAAGAATATTTAGGATATCAACATTTATTTGTTATAAAAATAGACATGCATAGCAATTAAATTTTGCAACGATACTTTTGATTGGAAATATTTTGATATTTAACATTGCAATACATTTAAATTCAGCTTTATTTCAAATTGAATACTAAAATTTGTTTCTTAGATACAACAGTTAAACCAACGGATCCGTGCTTAAATTGCGGTGCGAATACACAATGTCTTAATGGAATATGCATTTGCCTTCCCGAGTATCAAGGAGATCCATTTGTGGGCTGTCGTCCAGAATGTATTCTGAATCAGGATTGTCCGAGGGACAGGGCTTGCATTAAAAACAAGTGCCAAAATCCGTGCAGTTTCGAAATCTGCGGTCACAATGCATTGTGTACCGTCGTCAATCACATACCAACCTGTACGTGCGCGCAAAGAACGACAGGGAACGCATTTATAACGTGCTCCCCGATAGAGGGTACTTATCCGAGCAATCAGTTTCAAAATATGTTATGAATGATTGATATTAATTTTACAACAAAATTGTTATCTCCCCTGTAATCGTATTTTTTTTTTTTTTAACATTTACACAGTATCGATACCGAAAGATCCATGCTTCCCAACACCGTGCGGGCCGAACAGTGTGTGCCGTAAAATAAACAAACAGGCCGTCTGTTCTTGCATATCTGGATATTTGGACACACCACCTAATTGCCGAGCTGAATGCATTATCAGTTCCGACTGTCCCGCTAATACGGCCTGCAATAATCAGAAATGCATAGATCCCTGCCGTGGAGCATGCGGTATCAGAGCGCAGTGCACCGTAGTCAATCACAATCCGATTTGTTCGTGTCTTTCCGAGTTCACTGGCGACCCCTTCACTCAGTGCATTCCGAGACGTGAGTGACTTATTTAAAGCGCATAACATTTTTATCAGGCATATCAGATCATACTTATTTAAAAAGACGATGTTTTCTGTTTCTTTCCAACAGCGGCAGAACCTCCGACCCCTGTTAATCCTTGCATTCCGTCTCCGTGTGGATTTAATAGCAAATGTGACATCTTGAACAACGCACCTTCGTGCTCTTGCTTGCCAGATTTTATCGGCAATCCACCGGATTGTAGACCGGAATGTGTTAGTAATAGCGAGTGCCCCACACAGTTAGCGTGTATCAATCAAAAGTGTCGTGATCCTTGTCCAGGCTCGTGTGGTACTAACAGTGATTGTCGAGTGATAAGTCATACGCCTATGTGCGTTTGCCTTGTCGGATTCGAAGGTGATCCATTCGTATTATGCAATCCCAAGCAGAGTAAGTGTTCTTAAGGCTTAGAAATACAGGATATACTTTTTTTCATAGATTCCATGACAAACTCTAAATTTTTAACATTAAATGACAATTGCATTTATATTTATTTATGCATATATAATATTTAAGTAATATAAATATTTAATTAAAAATGATTAATTTACCAAAATTAACGCTTTGCTGTTGAAACAATTTTCCTAAATTTGTCTCTTATCTGTGATTGAAAGAGTAACATCTGATTCTAAGATATTTAAAAATATATATTGATGATTCATAAGAATAGGAAATATATTTTTAAAATTATTATAGGTGATGTTATAAATCCCGTGAAACCAACACCCTGCATTCCGTCGCCGTGCGGTTTTAATGCGGTATGTCGCGAACTGAACGGCGCTGGTTCTTGCACATGTCTATCGGATTATACAGGCAATCCATACGAAGGTTGCCGACCTGAATGCACAATAAATTCCGACTGTACCTCAGATCGAGCGTGCATTGGATCGAAATGTCAAAACCCTTGTTCAGGTTTCTGTGGATATAACGCGGTGTGTCAAGTAGTAAATCATGCGCCGTTGTGTACATGCCAACCTGGATACAGCGGTAATCCGTTCGTCTCTTGTAATAGAATTGCGCAAGATACAAGTAAGTGATTCAAACTCTGAGAAAGAAACGTGCATTTTAATATGATAATACGTAATTTAATCAAAATACTTTCAAAATTATTCTGAAATTACATTCATTCGATCATTCAAAATTATCGTAACTTAAATTCTAATTAAACATTTTTTTAGTTATAGAACGTAATCCATGCAATCCTTCTCCCTGCGGACTGAACAGTCAATGCCGCGAATTAAATGATCAAGCAGTATGCTCTTGTTTATCCACATTTATCGGAGCTCCACCAAATTGTCGCCCAGAATGCACTGTCAGTTCTGATTGTCCCGTAAATCGTGCGTGCAAGAATCGCAAATGCGTTGATCCGTGTCCTGGTATCTGTGGCATTAACGCGAGATGCGAAGTGATTAATCACAGCCCGATTTGCAGTTGTAACCAAGGTTTTACCGGTGATCCCTTCGTAACATGTTTCCAAACGCGTAAGTACGCTACAAAATACGAATTATTAATACGCGTTTTTATATATAATTTAATTTTTAAAATTTGATTTTTTCTCACGTTTACTTTAAATTTTTTTTAAATTATGCGATATTTAATTGAAGTTTTATACGCAAATATAATATTAAATAGAAATTATTCCCTTACAGAGATAGATAAAGATACTCCCTTGCCGACAAATCCGTGCGTTCCATCCCCGTGCGGCCCATTCTCGACTTGTCGCGACAGTGGTTATACCGGCGTGCCGACATGTACATGTTTGGAAAATTATATCGGCAGCCCTCCGAATTGTCGGCCAGAATGTACTGTAGATTCCGAATGCAGTAGCAATAGAGCGTGTTTGAGACAGAAATGCAGAGATCCATGCCCAGGCTCGTGTGGCATCGGAGCACAATGTCTCGTGGTTAATCACATGGCTGTCTGTCTCTGTCCCAAGGGTTATACCGGAAATGCCTTTGCCAATTGCTTCCCAGAATCTCCTCGTAAGCATTTACTCTCGTATAACGTACTCTTTATAATATATCACCCGTACACATTCATTGACAAGAAAAAAGTGGAGATTCTTAAGTGCAAATTATTCTTGATATATTTCAAAAAGTTGTTTATTAAATCTTAAAGAAAACTATTAATTATTAATTATTATTTTATATAAAGTATAAAAACATCGTGAAACTTGTCAATTAAAAAATGTCGATTTTATTAACGAATTAGTGAAATTGAAATATTTTAATTAAAAATTTAATTATTTTAACACTCTACTGTTAAGTGGTTGGTGATTATTATAAAATGACAATATATTAGGATATTTTAAATGACCAAACTACGTTATTTTATATCGGAGTACAAATTTTATTTGCTGTTAGTATTCACCTAAAAACAGACTCCAGACGTTTAATGACATTTGCAGCTGCTCTTGTACCACAAGATCCTTGCAATCCGTCCCCATGCGGAACCAACGCGATATGTCGCGACGGCACCTGCACCTGTCTGCCGGAATATCATGGTGATCCTTACTCCGCGTGTCGTCCCGAGTGTGTGCAAAACCCAGACTGTCCATTAGACAAAGCCTGCGTCCGCAACAAGTGCTTCGATCCATGCACTGGAATCTGCGGGCAAAATGCAAAGTGCACAGTCATAAATCACACCCCGATGTGCAGTTGCCCGGATGGAATGTCTGGCAATGCGTTCGCGGTGTGCTATCCGGTTGAAGGTAAATTCATCGACAGTGGAATGTGCTGTTAGCACCTTGAAATAATTTTCCGTAAAAGATTTTTTAACTGTCTAGAAATATTGTTGAAAAAGTCCAATTTGACAACGTTATTTTTGCAGATACTATTGTTATTGAAAATCCATGCTTTCCGTCGCCCTGCGGTTCAAATAGTCGATGCCAGGGCTTTAATAATCAAGCGGTATGCACGTGTATACCTGGATACATGGGAAATCCACCGGCCTGCCGACCCGAGTGCATAGTTAATACCGATTGCGCGCTAAACGAAGCTTGTATCAATATGAAGTGCGGCAATCCTTGCCTCGGCGCGTGCGGTATATCTGCACGTTGCCAAGTGCTGAATCACAATCCGATTTGCAGTTGCCCACCTGTATTTACCGGCGACCCGTTCATACGTTGCATACCGAGACGTAGGTTTTTCTCCGGTTTTATTACGAATATTTGCAAATATTTTTGTCGGCCGTGTAGCAATCTATATTTTTGTCTTAAAGCGGAGGATGTACCGAGACCAATAAACCCGTGCCAACCGTCGCCCTGCGGCCCCAATGCTCAGTGTCAAGTCATCAACAATTCACCATCCTGCTCTTGCACGGCAGAATTCATTGGAACTCCACCAAACTGCAGACCGGAGTGTATTAGTAACAGCGAATGTCCGAGTCAAATGGCGTGTATTAATCGCAAATGTAGAGATCCGTGTCCCGGATCTTGCGGCGCTCTGGCCGATTGCCATGTTATTAATCATGTGCCCACTTGCACATGTCGCGTCGGTTACTCAGGCGATCCATTTGTTCAGTGTACAATCATGTCCAGTAAGTTCGCAGTCGATCTTTTTTTTTACAAATACTTTGCTTACAAAAATTGATAGAATTTTATTATACTCGCGAGAATATAATCAGGAGATGTCAATGTTATGGGCGGGATAAAGCTGTGTTTTTTTTTTAGAACAACCATCGGTACCGAGTCAGCCTTGTCAACCATCCCCTTGCGGGACAAACGCCGTATGTAGAGAACAAAATGGCGTTGGTTCTTGTACATGCTTGCCCGAATATGTTGGAAATCCCTACCAAGGATGTCGTCCCGAATGTACTATTTCTTCAGACTGCCCCGCGCACTTAGCTTGCATTGGATCAAAATGCCAAAATCCATGCCCCGGTTCGTGCGGTGCCAATACCAATTGCCAAGTCGTTAACAATGTCCCTGTTTGCACTTGCATCCCTGGTTACACTGGCAACCCTTACATAAATTGTATTTATCAGGTTCTTCAGAGTAAGTAACATTAAACACGTACGGAGAAAAATTAAGTAGAACCGCAGATCAAACAAAATAATAGATGATCGCACAATGCTTAATGTTAAATTGCGTTATTATAGTTTCTGAGAAAGAACGTGAGCCATGCAAACCTTCTCCTTGTGGCCCGAACAGTCAATGCACTAATAATAATGGACAGGCCGTCTGCTCCTGCTTGCCCCAGTTCATCGGAACTCCACCAAATTGTAGACCGGAGTGCTTAGTAAACTCCGAGTGTGGATCAAACCGAGCATGTGTGAATCAGAAATGTGTAGATCCGTGTATCGGCACTTGTGGCCGCGATGCTCAATGCAAAGTCGTACATCACAGCCCCATTTGTGTCTGCGCAAGCGGATTTACGGGCGATCCGTTTGTTTATTGCTTCGCAACTCCAAGTATGTTTTACATTAGTAAAAGTTCATTATAGATTTATTCAATCAAGTCAAAAATTCAATTTTTTTATTAAGTTTTTGAGAAAATAGAAATTATCACTCTCAAATCACCTTTTTGCATTCAACAATAAGAGAAAAAATATTTTTCTATACATATCCTTTATAATCTTTTTATTTTATTATTTTATGCATGAAAAAAATTGCGATATTTTTACTTTTTTTTTACAAAATTTAAAAATCGAAAATTAAGCAGTAAGACTTGATTAGTTTTTTAACTCAATAATTATTGCGCGAAAAATATCTGTCTTACCTACACTTTTCTACAGTTCCAAAACCAGAAGACCAATACCCGAAGGACCCATGCTTACCGTCGCCCTGTGGACCCAATGCTATGTGTAGAGCTATCGGTGACACGCCAGCGTGCATCTGCATGCAGAATTACATCGGTGTCCCACCTAACTGTCGACCCGAGTGTTCGATAAATTCGGATTGTCCCGCTGACAAAGCTTGCATCAGAGAAAAATGTAGAGATCCTTGTCCAGGATCATGCGGCCTCCTGGCGCGCTGTTCGGTCATTAATCATACGCCATCTTGCGTATGTCCTGAAGGATACACCGGAGATCCCTTCGTCAGTTGCGATGTTGTGCGCCAGAAACCTCGTAAGAATTACATTTTCCAATATAATGTTACCGAGACAAAGCCAGCGAGTATCGCAAAGTATTATAATTTGATCCGTGCACATTTTAGTACCTCCTCCAGACCGATGTAACCCGTCACCGTGCGGCCAAAACGCTCAATGTAACGACGGAATTTGCACATGTATACCCGAATACTTCGGAGATCCGTACGCCGGCTGCCGACCGGAATGTGTCATTAACACTGACTGTCCCCGCGATAAGGCATGCATGCTCCACAAATGTCGCGATCCCTGCATCGGGACGTGCGGCGTTAGCGCGGAATGCAATGTCATCAATCACTTGCCTATGTGTAGTTGTCCGAGAAACATGACGGGCAATGCGTTTATTTCTTGCACAGCCCTCCAAGGTTCGTACCGCCTCGAACTCGAGCGTCGTAATCACCCGAAATATTTCCCGAAATGTGAATGTGCGAAAATTATTATTACACAGATACATACACTGTGGAGCAACCGTGCAATCCATCCCCGTGCGGCCCGAATAGTCACTGTCGCGCGTCAAACGGTCAGGCGATTTGCGCGTGCATCGCCGGATTTAGAGGAGCCCCGCCGTCCTGTCGACCGGAGTGTCTCATAAGCGCCGATTGCGCCCGCAATCGTGCCTGCAGCAACCAGAAGTGCATCGACCCGTGTCTCGGAGCGTGTGGATTAGCTGCGCAATGTACCGTTGTCAATCATAACCCGATATGCAGTTGCCCGCCTTTGTACACAGGAGATCCATTCGTTCGATGCGCGTTGCAACGTAAGAAGAAGAATTTTGCGTAATTGAAAATTGATTGTCGTAATACCGATAGATGATTGTAATTCCTTGTAAATTGCAGCGGAAGAACCACCACAGCCACCGACAGATTCCTGTCGGCCCTCACCTTGCGGCCCGAGCGCGATATGCCGAGTCCTTAATGGCGCTCCGTCATGCTCGTGCCTGCCCCAATTTATCGGAACTCCGCCCAGATGTAGACCGGAGTGTGTCAGTAACAGCGAATGTCCCAGTCAACAAGCTTGCATTAATCAAAAGTGCCGGGATCCTTGCCCCGGATCCTGCGGCACGAACGCGGAATGTAGAACCGTCAGTCACACCCCGATGTGCATTTGCGCCAGTGACTTTACCGGAGATCCATTTATCCAGTGCAATCCCCGACCGAGTAAGTTTCGAAAGAATGTCGCGAGAAGTACGCCGAATATTGAACGCAAACGATGGCGTTGACAGTTATCGCTTAACAATTTATCGCCCTCTATTTTAGTCATCACACCGCCCACGCCATTAAATCCGTGCCAGCCGTCGCCGTGCGGCGCGAACGCTATGTGCCGCGAGGTTTCCGGCTCGGCTTCCTGCATTTGCCTGTCCGATTTTTATGGAAACCCGTACGAAGGCTGCAGACCAGAGTGCGTAATCGGCTCCGACTGCACGTCTAATCGAGCTTGCATAAGGAACAAGTGTCAGGATCCTTGTCCAGGAACGTGCGGTGTTAATGCGATTTGCGAAGTTATCAATCATATACCGACGTGCAGTTGCCAGCCGAGATATACCGGAGACCCGTTCAGATATTGCAGACCTATGCAAGACACTCGTAAGTGGATACAAGTTGCCTGTCCATCGCCTTATCACCGTCGCAGAAATCCGTTTATTTAATTTTACAATCGATTTCGCACAGCACCGGCTCCCGTAGGCGATCCTTGCCGGCCATCACCGTGCGGTCCCAACAGTCAGTGCCTTAATGTAAATGGAAAAGCTAGCTGCTCGTGTCTGCCCACCTACCGAGGAACTCCTCCCGGATGCAGGCCCGAATGTGCCGTTAGCACGGAATGCCCCATAAATCGTGCGTGCGTCAATCAGAAATGCGTCGACCCATGCCCAGGTGTGTGCGGCATCAGCGCCAAGTGCGAGAGTCTGTCTCACAGCCCGTTCTGCAGTTGCGGACCCGGCCAGATCGGAGATCCTTTCGTCAAGTGTTTCGACATGCCCCGTAAGTCCCGACTTGTCGTGAGAACGTTGCGCCCTGAAAGGTGTGTCCTATGTTGTTTGATCTCATTCCAGTGATGCCTACAGTGCCGGTACAGGTAAACCCGTGTATCCCATCGCCCTGCGGTCCGTTCTCCACGTGCCAAGACCGAGGAGGCTATCCGTCTTGCACGTGTATGCCCAATTACCTTGGATCACCGCCGTACTGCCGTGCCGAATGCTCAATTAATTCCGATTGCACCAGCGATAAGGCTTGCATCAGAGAAAAATGCAGAGACCCCTGTCCCGGATCTTGCGGCATTAGTGCCTTGTGCACTGTGATCAACCATACCCCAGCTTGCACGTGTCCCGAAGGATACACGGGCGATCCCTTCAGCAATTGTAACCTGGCGCCTATCTGTAAGAGCTTTCACCATGTTATTTCTTACCCACATACGTTTTTTTTTATTTTTGTACAATAGTAATTACTAAAAACAATCACTTTAAACTTACGCCTGCGTCTCCCAATGCAGCCATTCCTCCGGTGGCATCAGACCCGTGTGACCCATCGCCGTGCGGATCCAATGCCGAATGCCGTAACGGAATCTGCAGTTGCATACCTGAATATCGCGGCGATCCGTATCGAGAATGCCGACCGGAGTGCGTGCAGAATTCCGACTGTCCGCACGACAGAGCCTGCGCGAATAACAAGTGCGTGAACCCTTGCGTCGGAATTTGCGGCCAGTATGCAGAATGCGCGGTCATCAATCACGTAGCTACTTGTAGCTGCGTCCAAAGCTATGAAGGCGATCCGTTCACCCTCTGCAAACGTGTGCAACGTGAGTCTTTAATCCCGCCCCCCCCCTTCCAATTTTCCCCCTAAAAATTTCTTGATATTAGAAAGAGCCACTAATTTGACTACTTTGCGCCTCGGTAGCACGCGTGAAACCCTGCGAGCCTTCCCCCTGCGGACCCAACAGCGTTTGCCGTGAATTCGGCGATCAAGCCTCCTGTTCTTGCCTGCCTGGTTACTTCGGAATCCCGCCGAGCTGTAGACCCGAATGTTTGGTTAGCACTGATTGCGAGCAGAATAAGGCTTGCGTGAACACGAGATGTCGCAATCCCTGCGAAAACGCTTGCGGCCAGAACGCGCTGTGCGTAGTGCGCAATCACAATCCCATTTGCAGGTGTCCCGCTCAGCATTCCGGCGACCCGTTCGTCAACTGTTTCCCCATAAGTAAGTAACCGCCGAGAGTGTTCCGGACAAGACAAACGGCAAAGAAACGTCGCTAAAGAGTCTAAAAATTCTCCTCATCCATAGAGATGCCTTTTAGATCCTTTTTGACGTTTTTTTGTCATTTGCATTGCCGGGGATATCTGCTCCTCGACAACAGAAATGAATAATGAATGTTTTTTTTCACCAGCACCAACGGATGTAGAACCCACCAGGGACCCGTGTTACCCCTCGCCGTGTGGATTGAACTCGCAGTGCGCGGTATCCGCCGATAATAAACCCTCCTGCTCCTGCTTGCCCACCTTCATGGGATCTCCACCCAATTGTAGACCCGAATGCCGTGTAAACAGCGACTGTCCCAACAACCGAGCATGCATTAGGCAGAAATGTACCGACCCATGCGTGGGATTGTGCGGACTCAATGCACTGTGCCAAGTCATTTTGCACCAAGCCCGATGCACCTGTCCCGAATCATACACTGGAGACCCATTCACAGTTTGCTCTGAGATAATATGTAAGAAAACCCCTCGGCTATCTTTACCCGTACCAATATCCGATGGACAATATCTTGCCATCTTGTTCTATACACATTTTAGTTTCTAGAACCTGAATCTCGGTCACTTATAACTTTGTAAATATTGTATATAAAGGCTGTACTTTGAAAAACTGCGATTTCTCTGCAGTTTGTCACATATCGATCTCTTGCAGCATTTTTTAAATATTATACTCAATATTATCTGAACATACTTTATATGCACAATTTATTTTTTATATATATATGTATCATATACGTGCTACTTCTTTACGTGTATAAAATGCATGTGCCATACATGTAAAAAATGTGTACATTTGTATACTCTTATTTTTATATACAAATGTATTTATATTTATTTCTAAAAATTGTCAATTTATGTACAATTATAATATACACTGCATGAATATAATTATAAAACATAGCTATAATTTTGAAATTAATCATATGTTTTTTATTATTATTTTAGCAACTCCAGCGCCACCAATATCTTATAGACCGTGCAATCCCTCACCGTGCGGAATAAACGCATACTGCCATGAAAGATTCGACACTGCCATTTGTGAATGCATATCGAACTACAGAGGCAATCCATACCAAGGCTGTCAGCCCGAGTGTCTCGTGAATACCGACTGCCCGAAATCACAAGCGTGCATCAGGACGAGGTGTCAGGATCCTTGCCCTGGTACTTGCGGTGTTAACGCGATCTGCTCGGTGTCCAACCATGTTCCTATTTGCTCTTGTCCACTGCCAACGATTGGAGACGCTTTTACACTTTGTCAAATTCCCATAGAAGGTACAATTTCGATATATTTCATATTGAGATTCAATGATCTAGTTATTTTAATCGAAAAATTTCAAATTTTTATGCTTTTTGCAAAGTTCTCTCATTTTTATCAAAATAAAAAATTTAATTTGTTATTAAGATTTATATAAATTATTTATATGAATATTATGTATATTATGTAATATATTAAAGATTTCTTATTACTATTTTATTTTAAATTTTCTTTTCTTCTAATAATCTTATATTAATTTATTCTTATGATTATTTCTGTTTAGATACTAAAGAAGCCGATCCGTGTTATCCTTCACCGTGCGGGCCTAATGCTGTTTGCGAAAAAGTTGGTAATACGGCAATTTGCAAATGTTTACCTGGACTGCAAGGTGTTCCAACCAGTGTAACCGGCTGCCATCCGGAATGTGTGCTTAGCTCAGACTGTTCAGGCGACAAAGCTTGCATACAAAATAAATGCAGAGATCCTTGCTCTCAAAACGTGTGCGGCAGCAAAGCGTTGTGTAAGACGATCAATCACAGTCCGCTTTGCAGCTGCCCGTCTCCGCTAATCGGCAATCCCTTCGAGGAATGTTACACGAAGATCGGTAAATATACAAATCTGAAATAATAAAATATATTAATTTCTGTACTCTTTCCGTTTTTCTAATTTATGTTATTTGTGTTTTAGAAACCAATCCTTGCAGTCCGTCGCCTTGCAATTACAACGGCGAGTGCAGAGTGAGAAATGGCGTTGCTATTTGCATCTATCCTGAGTGCGTTATTAATTCGGATTGTCCACGTGATAAGGCCTGCTTCTCGCAAAAATGCAGAGATCCTTGCGTAGGCGCGTGCGGTATTAATTCTCTCTGTCAGACCGTTAATCACAAGCCAGTGTGTTCCTGTCCAGTTGGATTTACAGGCAATGCGCGAGTGCAATGCACAATTCCAACACTTAGCGGTAATATTTTTTATAATATATTTCTCATATATTTTCTGAAATAGTCCGAAGTCTAGTTCTATTAGTAACGAAAAAAATTTATTTTATTCTACATGCATTATATTATTTTGTGGATAAGCTGCAATTCAATCAATAAATAATTATTCATAGATACTTAAAAAAAAAGAATTTTACGGCATGTTGATAGCGAAAATAATTTTCGGATTTACATATTAATTTATGAAAAATTTAACTTTTAATTATATGATTACAGAACCGATTCCAGAGTGTACTCACAATTCTGAATGTTCAAACGACAAGACCTGCTTCAATCAAAAATGCGTTGATCCGTGCACTCTCGATTCTTGTGGCCTTCACAGTCGCTGTCATGTAACAATGCACAGAGCTATATGCGTTTGCAATGAAGGCTTCACCGGAAATCCTCAGCAATATTGCCAACAAAGTGAGTGATTAAACAAATATATTCAACTGTTTACGTTTGTACGATTACGTATTGTTAATTTCATCAATATTTTTATTCTAGTCGGTTGTCGCAGCGATAACGAATGCTCACTGGTTCAGTCTTGTATCAATAATGAATGTCTTGACACCTGCCTCGTTACACAGTGCGGTATCAGTGCATTGTGTACCGCTGATGGATACCATAGGACTCGATGCTATTGTCCTGACGGATACACGGGTAATCCTTACGAGATATGCGAAAGACCCGAGTGCACTAGTGACAGCGACTGCGTTTCATCCTTGGCCTGTCGCAACCTCAAGTGTGTCAATCCTTGCAATTGTCCACCACCGGCATTATGTACTGTCGTCAATCATCGACCGGTCTGTAAATGTCCACCTGGCTTCGTAGGCAACCCTTACAGCTCGTGTCTCATGGGTAATCATTCTTATAGTGTAGCGTTTATAAAAAAGCGTTTGTATAGTAAATTTAAAGTGAAAATTATTTATTCGATAAAATGGAAAACCTAGTTAGCATCGTATTATTAAATTACTATTAATAAAGTCGAGAAAACTTATATATTTAACATGGAAATGATTAAAAATTAATTATTGATACAGTTCTTAAGATATTAGAAGTAACTGTTTATTTTGCCATTTTAGAACCGATAGAATCGGACATCGAATGTCAAGTTGATGCGGATTGTCCCAGCAAGCTGGCGTGTTTCAATGGCGTTTGCAAAGATCCATGCACAGAAACGAAACCGTGCATTCCTAGCGCCAAATGTAGCGTCGTCGACACCTTACCGATGAGAACAATGATCTGCGAATGCTTGCCGAACTTTGCTGGCGACGCTACCGTTGCTTGTATACCAGGTAAAATTTGATTTCAAAATATGTAAATATTTAAATATAGTAAAATGAAATTTTCTTAGAAAATAACTTTGAAACTACAATAAATAAAACTGATTTAATTAGCTGTGTCAAATATTTATCGAATGATAATTGAATTGAGAATATTTTGTGTATCTACAGTGGACAAACAAATTGCTGCTATATGTGAAAGTGATTCGCAATGTACATCAGACATGGCTTGTCTAAACCGCCGGTGCATCAATCCTTGTACTGTCAACCCGTGCGCTCCGAATGCGGAATGCCACATCGAAAACCATCGTCGCATCTGTCAATGTCCTCACGGACACGCCGGTGATCCGTTTATAAATTGTTACGAAGGTACCATATTGCACATTTTCTCCCATTTATCAATATAAGCAATTACTGACATTGTTATTTTCCATTCGCAGAAGATGTAGTTCTTCCGGAATGTAGAACAAACAGCGAGTGTTCGTCCGACAAAGCGTGCATAAATCAGCTGTGCCAAGATCCGTGCTCCAGCAATCGCTGCGGCCAAAATGCAGAGTGCATCACGATTAATCATCATCCCTCTTGCCACTGCCAACACGGTTTAGCTGGTGATCCTCAAATTCAATGCTTCAGACGTAAGTTCTTTACAAATTCTTTTATCATAGAAATTAGAGTACTCTTGAATTTTAGAAAATCCTCGAATATAAACTGAAACAGCTATCAATCTCTTCTTCTTCTTTGTAAAACAGCATTAAATTCAAACTTTATTTGCGAGATGAAGACAAATAAAGAGCAAAAATCTTAAACATGCTAAGAACTAATTAAAAAATTATTACTTCGGGAATACTGCATTTACTCATCGCATACTCTTTTTGTTTTACAGCGGAATGTAAAACAGACGATGAATGTCCTTATGACAAGACCTGCCGAAATGAGAATTGTGTCACTCCTTGCTTCCTGGGTGACATCGTATGCGGTCGAGGAGCGGAGTGCAGAGCGGTGTCCCACAGAGCGCAATGTATTTGTCCGCAAGGTACTCAAGGTGATCCGCGAGTGGCGTGCATCTCCGCAATCTGCCATTACAACGAGGATTGCGCCGATCACGAGGCCTGCGACAGACTGAACAGGATTTGCAGACCGGTTTGCGACGACGATGCTTGCGCCGAAACAGCGACTTGCATCGCACGCGACCATCAGCCGAAGTGCATATGTCCCGCGGGTACCACGGGAAATCCGTATATAACATGCATCGGTATGTGTTTATTCTTAAAATGTATGTGTTCTTTCTTTCAATTTATCAAATTTTATATTCTTTACGACTCTTTTTATGACCCCTAGGCACTCCTATCGAGCCGGAATGCACGCAAGACAGCGAATGTGCATTGAATCTCGCTTGCATTAACAACAAATGCCAAGACCCGTGCGTGTCCGCCGGCATGTGCACCAGTGAACAGGAATGCAAGGTCCTCAACACGATACCGCTTCGTACCATGATCTGCTTGTGTCCACCAAATACCATCATCGATGTTAATAGCCAGTGCAAGCCGATTGGTACATATCGACTTTGTGAAACGTGGCGTGTGGAATATTTTGTAGAGATCTTTTTTAACTATTCATGTATGTATTGTAGTGCTGGCCGATGTGGAATGTCACCTGGATCAAGACTGCGCTAATCAGGAGAAGTGCCTTGACGGAAGATGCGTGGATGCCTGCTTAACAACTCAGTGCGGCTTTAACGCGCAATGCAAATCCACATCTCACACCGGCATCTGCTTCTGTTCTCAAGACTTCACGGGCAATGCTTACGTAGAATGCATAAGAGGTACGGAATATATTTACGATCACAAACTCGAACATCTCTTACTAATTATCACATTTTATCTTCCGCTGCAATCAACAATTTCTATTATAGTTCCAGTCGCGCCATTGCCAGGACGTCGACCAGAATGTTACGCCAACAGCGAATGTGCGAGCGACAAACAATGCATAAATTCTCTCTGTGTGAATCCGTGCGTCGCTGGCGATCCTTGCGGCAGGAACTCCCTGTGCCACATCGACAATCATAATCCAATTTGCAAGTGCCCGATCAACTACGTCGGCGACCCTACGATCAAATGCATACCACGTGAGAAACGTTGGGAATAAAAATTGTCCTGGAGATTGCGTGCATAACTTTTCATATTATGGCGTTTTCTGTTGCAGCGGAGATTATGGTCGAGTGCGCATCAAACAGCGATTGCGCGGGAAATTATGCCTGTGTCAACGGCGCTTGCATCAATCCATGCAATTGCGGACCCAACGCCAAGTGCAACGTCGTCAACCATTATCCTACTTGTGTATGTCCTCCCGGCTATTCTGGAAATCCTCAGTTGGGATGCTTCAAGCGTAAGTGTCATTTATTTTATTTTTTTTGTGTAACAAAAAAATTAATATTTATATAATATATTTTTTCACTGTCATGAAGTTGTTTTAAGTTTTCTTTCGCTTATAATGCATCCTCCGATTGTCCGTTTCAGTCGACTGCGAATCCGACAGCGAGTGCGATTACGCAGCCACCTGCTACAACGGTCAGTGCGTGAATCCTTGCATCCTGGACAACAAGTGCGCCATCAACGCGGAATGCTACGGCAAGAACCACCGATCGGCCTGCCGTTGCGGTCCCGGTTACAACGGCGATCCTCAGATTCATTGCGAGAGGGTCGAGTGTAACGCGGACCACGACTGCCCTTACAACCTGGCCTGCAACGACGGTCGTTGCGTGAATCCTTGCGCCGAGAATTCACCTTGCGCGCAGAACGCGGTTTGCTATGTGCAGGATCACGTAGCGTCCTGTCGCTGTCCCGAGAACATTCCGCTGGGAAATCCGTTCTCCTATTGCGAACGACATCCCGCGGACGAACTCGAGGAGCCGGAGTGCAGAGTCGACATCGATTGTTCGGACAAACTGGTCTGCATCCGGGAGAAATGCATCGATCCCTGCCCGGTCATCAAGCCGTGCTTGGAGAACGCTCGCTGCGACGTTCTCGACACCGTACCTGTGAGAACTATGATTTGCACGTGTCCGGAGGGATGGATCACCGACACTGATGGTGCATGCAGACCCAGTAAGTAGTTTTAAAAGTAGAACCTTGTATCAATCGATTTAAAAGTAATATTATCTTTTATTAAAAAAAAAATTTTCTAACTTATTCCAATTTTGCAGTACAACTGACAGTCATCGGAACGTGTACAACGAACGACGATTGCAGCGATCGCGAGGCTTGCATCAACAGGCAATGTCGCAATCCGTGCAACTGCGGCACCAACGCGGTCTGTTACGTGAGGAATCACAAACCGATTTGCTCCTGCGAGCAAGACTATCAGGGCAATCCGGAAATCGCGTGCCACTCGGTCGAGTGTCGACACGACAGCCAATGCACACTCGACAAGTCCTGCGAGAATAACAACTGCGTGAATCCGTGCCTGGTCGCGGATCCATGCGGCACCAACGCCGAGTGCTTCCCGAACAATCACGTGGCTGACTGTCGCTGCCGCAAGGGCTACCACGGCAATCCGTTGGATCGCTGCCGCGTGATCGGCTGCTACAGCAACGGCGATTGTCCGGGCGATCACTCGTGTATAAATATGCAGTGCATCGATCCTTGCATTCACGACAATCCCTGCTCGCCTCGCGCGGAATGCAGGGTTCTGAACCACCTGCCGATATGTCGCTGCCCGCTGCACTACACCGGAAACCCTTACGTCAATTGCCGACCGGAAATCAAACCCGAGTGCAGAGAGGACAGCGACTGTCCGGACTCGCTCGCCTGCCTGAGCAGCAAGTGCCAGAATCCGTGCCCGATCATACAACCATGCACGGATCCGTCCGAGTGCCGCGTCCTGCCGACGCATCCGATACGCACCATGGTGTGCGTGTGTCCCAGCGGATATGTCAGCAGCGGCAGCGGTACCTGCCGAGCTACCACGCCGATCGCCAAAGTCGAGTGCACCAAGGACGATGACTGTCCGTCGGAAAGATCTTGCGTCAACGCGATCTGCAGGGATCCCTGCGCCTGCGGACCCAATGCTGTTTGCAGCGTCATCAATCACAAACCCATATGTTCGTGCACGTTGGGATACGACGGAAATCCGGACATCACTTGCACAAGAGGTAGGACGAATATATTTATTGTTTCTCTAAAAAAATTATTTTTTGTTAATAAGATTTAAAAAAATTGGTAGATAAAAGATATATTTATCAGTTTTCATCATGTAGTCATCACGTTTTCATCGTCTATTTTGAATATACAGTTGCGGGATGTAGAACGGATGGCGATTGTAGCGGTTCGCACGCGTGCGTCCAACGCAACTGCGTGCCGGTATGTTCGCCGTCCCTGGCTTCCTGCGGCAAGAACGCAGTGTGTCACGGTATAAATCACAAAGCTATCTGCGAGTGCCCGCCTGGTTTCGGTGGCAATCCGAGAGTCTCCTGCGTATTGCTAGGATGTAGAAGCAACTCGGACTGTCCGACGAACAAGGCCTGCATCAATAATCGCTGTGAAAATCCCTGCACGCAGAACCCGTGCACCGGCAACATGGACTGCAACGTTTACAATCACGTCGTGGAATGTGCGTGCCCGCCTGGCTACATCAGCGATGTTACATCAGGATGTACTAAAGGTAAAAATTCATTTCTTCTTTATAAAATATATGCGTCATTTGAAGAGTATTTAAATTCTTTAATCATTTGTTCTACAGTTAAAGAAAAGTGCAAGGCGGATAACGAATGCCCATCTCAGACTGCATGCTTCAACGGACAATGCATCAATCCGTGCACAAAGATCGAGCCGTGCGGCATTAATGCCGAGTGTAAAGTCCTAGACACCAGCCCAGTCAGGACCATGATATGCGAATGTCTTCCGGGATATCGTGGCAATGCAATTGTCCGTTGCGATCCAGGTAATTGAAAAGAAATTAACGAAGCATGCGTGGAGAAGTGAAAAGTCGAGGAGTCAATTATTTACACACGCCGACAAATATATTCGAAGTATTAATACAAATTACTTATATTGCAGTGAATGTGTGTCCAATTGAGAAAGGTCAAGTTCGCGATGAATACGGTAATTGCATCTGCCCGCTTGGATTCGGCAAGGATGTGAACGACAATTGCGTACCTTGCCGCAGGCAGTCCAACATGGTGATAAATGAGGATGGTTATTGTGTATGCGATTTAGAAAAGGGCTTCAGCATAGACGAATACGGTCGTTGCGTGTGTCCAACGCGCTACGGCTACAGAATAGATGCCAGTGGATATTGCAAACAGCGTAAGCCTTTTATCTTCAGGGATAATTAAAACGTTTCCCATCTAATCATCTCGCTAATCTACGTTATGGCTATTTACAGTTGGTATAATAGAATGCAGACGTAATGAGGATTGCGCCGATGACAGATACTGCGAGAAAACTACTTGGACTTGCCAAGATCCCTGCAAAAATCAACACTGCGGTGTACATGCGCTTTGCAACGCCACTAAACATCAAGCTGTCTGCATCTGCGTCAACGGCTACTTGGGCAATCCGTACACGCAATGCTGTACGTAAAGAATTTGCGAAGACAGTCTCGATCATCAATTTGCAAACATTCTCAGAAAACTGACAAAGTTTAAGACATATAAGCTTTTTCTTTAGTTACTTTTTTAAATCGGAAATAAGTGTTAATTCTGAAAAAAAATTATGTAAAATATAGCAGATAGAATAACTTGTTTTTTTTTTTTAGTAAAAAACTAAATCTACAAGTACGCTTACTCGTTTGAAAAATCGTTTTAATGTATATTTTCTGTTTTTTTAGATGACAGAAAGGATGGCCGAACAGATTTCCCCAGACCTGAAATGGACGTGAGCTGCTTGTCTGACGGAGTGCAGGTCGTAATACATCTGCAAGATCAAGACTTCGATGGAGTTTTGTACGTTAAAGGACGCAGCAAAGATGAACAGTGCAGAAGGGTTGTTTCGTTGCCAGCTGAAACTGAACATAAGACGGAAACATTCAAAGTTGCATTTGGCAATTGCGGACTGATACACGTGAATGTTAGCTGAACAGCATATCGTAATTATATCGATATTAATTGTTTCTTACAAGATTTCTGTGTAATCTATACTCATCTTTTAGGGACAAGCTAGTTTCGTACTTGTCATACAGAAACATCCGAAACTGATGACTTACAAGGCACAGGCTTATCATATTAAATGTATATATCAAACTGGAGCGCAAAACGTTACCCTCGGCTTTAACGTGTCTATGTTGACAACCGCTGGAACAATTGCCAATACTGGCCCACCACCTATATGTATAATGAAAATAATTGCGCAGAATGGAAATGAAATTAATTCGGCCGAAATTGGAGACAATTTGATGCTTCAAGTGGAAGTTCAACCTTCAAGTATGTAACAATTTCTATCTGTTTTTAAGAAAAGCTTTATGTGACTTCTAAAGATATATAATTACATTTAAATACTTTATTATTTACTATTTGACGAAAAATATGAAAATATATAACAATATTGCAGCCATTTATGGTGGATTTGCGCGAAATTGCGTTGCTAAAACAATGGAAGACAGTAAGGAGAATGAGTACATCGTGACGGACGAGAATGGCTGTGCGACAGATCCTACAATATTCGGAGAATGGGAGCAAAATCCTGACACTCAGTCGTTAATGGCTAGTTTCAACGCGTTCAAATTCCCTAATAGCGATAATATAAAATTCCAGTGCAATATACGCGTGTGCTTTGGACGTTGCCAACCTGTGAGTATTCGCGATTTTGTAATTTTGCAATTATTTGATGTACGATTTCGAGAACAGTCATTGTGATAAAAATATATTTCTCCGCAGGTAAATTGCCGAGGCTATAATGCCTTCGGTCGTCGCCGCAGAGACGTCGATGATGTCAACGACACGTCTCTAAGCGTATCTGACGGATTTGAGGGCCAACTTCGCGAGGAGATAACTATTCAATCAAATTTAATATTCACTCTGGATAGGAGAGAGGAGAGGTATACAGCAGATCCAGCTGAAGGTAAGACAAAACTGAAGAGGAATTATAACAATTGTGTATACTCGGAATTAGAGCGAAGAAAATAATCTTTCTCGCGATGTGTTTCAGCTCCTTCAGCGCAAAGAGTAGAAGATATCTGTGTTTCAATGGTCGGCTTTATCATAGCGTTGATAATTACGGCGCTTTTGGCACTGGTTGCCGTAGCTATCGCTGTGTCATGCTGGCTTATGGCGTATCGACGTCAGCCAAAGACTGCTGGACCACTGCCACACCCACCAGAGTTCCCAAACCCCTTGTTCACTACAGAATCTGTAGCTGAACCTTCTCCTGATTATCACCTATCATAAGTCCCTTAGAGTAATTAATATTTTATAAATAACATAAATTTTATAATTCTCATGGAATGCATCTCTGACCATTCGTTCCATTGGTCGGTTTTGTATTTCTGTATACAACTCCTCCAGTGACTATCACTTCGTTTCTTCTCCCTCTCCGTACCTTCTTCTCGAGGATTCAAACAATAAGTCACTGTTATATACTACGAGTCATGATATATACATACTATTTATGGTGATGGTTAGCTTCCATTATATATATACATACATCTACTTGCAAGAAAAGAAAAATGCGGGATTATCTCTTTTTCATACATCTTTCCTATATTACTTTCTCTAGTCAGTGGAGGATTTGTTAAATGTAATGCTGCGAATTTAATACCTGTGTAAAGTCAACGAATTAGTCTAATATAGCTTTCTTATTGCGAAAAAATAGGTAATTGTACATTTTATCTAATAAAATGCTAACGAATATTTTTAAAAATTCTTGTGATTTATTTGACACGCACCGTTATCCAATGCAGGGTATCAAAAATAATGTGGTTAGTGCTGTTAATAATATTTTATTATTTTAATTGATATATAAAATAATACATATATAAAAAAACAATACGTGCCTTTTTGTAATGTCATTAAATATATATTAATCAACTTATTTCATTTTATTATCAGGTAAAAAAGATATCACATTATTAACATTTCGTATCTCGAATTAATTTTTGGTATAACTCATACAAAATGCAATATCATCTAATCGCGTGATGTAAAATTTATTGATTAATATTTTACACATTAATTTATCTATATATTTATTATTTATTATCCATTATTCAGAAAGCAATCAATATTTTCTCGTAACGATTATCCCTTGATAACTGCAATTGGTCGTAGCTTGATGCATTTCTTAGAAATTCCAGCTGCGTGACAAGTATTAACAACATCCGTTACATTTTTATAGGATTCCGGCGCTTCTTCCATGACCAATTTCGGTGAAGCAACTCGTATCGATATGCCTGATTCTTGTAATTTGTTCAGAACTTGTTGGTAATCCAAGTTTCGACGTGACTTAGCTCTTGAGAGAGCACGGCCCTGTACACACATATATTTATCGTACAGAGATATTTTCTCTGTTGTCTCATATAATATGCACATGATTATTCGTATATGAAACAATTTACACTGTAGAATTAAAAGTAAGCCGATATAAATAATATGAAATTTCATATAATTCTACTTACAGCTCCGTGACATGTTGATCCAAACGTTTCTTTCATACCCTCTTCTGTGCCAGTCAGAACATAACTGCAGGTTCCCATCGTGCCACCGATTAAAACTGGTTGACCTGTTATCTGATAGTCTACAGGAATCAAAGGATGATGCGGTGGGAACGCTCTTGTTGATCCCTTGAAGCAGAATATTTTTTTTAAACACGCAATATAAGTATTGCATTATATTTAAGTAGTATTAAAAATGTCTCAAATATATAGATACTTACCTTTCTATGAACTAAAAGAGTTTTCTGTTTTCCTTCAACTATGTGTTCTTCTACTTTGGCAATATTATGAGAAACGTCGTAAATAACGTGCATATCTAAATCATCGGGAGATAAGTTAAATTGTTTCGCAAATGCCTGTTAAGAAACATAATGTATATTATTTGTATTATATTGTATTTCTATTAATTAGCGTCTACATATATATCTCTTTCTCGTACCTGTCGACTAAGGAATGTCATAGAACTCCTGTTGACCCACGCAAAATTAGCAGCAGCTGCCATTGATTTTAAGTAGTCCTGGCCTTCTTGAGATTTAATATGAGCGCATGCAAGCTGTCTATCGTTGGTTTCTATGTTGTCACGTTTCATAGCCTTTTCCATTTGCACAAGCGCATCTGAAACGTTATTTTATTATATAAAACATGATTATCAAAGTAGTTTCTAAATGTATGTTAAAGAAAAATTTTATATTATGAAACAAAAAATATATGTAACTTATCAGAAGTAGATTGACAGTGAATTAAGGAGATAATAACCTGTAGCAACTTGATGACCAAATCCTCTGCTTCCCGAGTGGATCATAACACAAACTTGTCCTTTTTCTTCAATGCCCATTTTACACGCAGCCCACTTGTCATATATTTCATCTACTACTTGAATTTCTGCATAATGGTTTCCAGCTCCTAATGTACCTAACTGATATAAAAGAAAAAGTAAAAAATATAATTATTATATATTTAAATATAAATTAATCCTCTAAATGATATCTGCTACATACTTGAGGAAGTCCACGTTTCTTAGCTCTCATTGATACTTTGGATGGATCAGCATTAAGCATTCTTCCATATTCTTCACAATGTTCTTTATCCTCGGCCCAAATGTATCCTACAAGTATCTCAAATGAGTATTTTGACTTGCATTCTTTGATTTCATTATAAGAGTTACTTTTCCTCTCTCACCTTCCCTCAGAGACCAATCCATTCCCATTTCTAGAGCTTCTTCTAAATCCCGTGAATTCATTGGTATGATTCCTTTTGAACCAACTCCGACTGGAATATGATCAAACATGCTTTGTGCAAGTTGTTCCTAAAAAATTATTTTTATATTATTATATGCAAATGTGTACACTATTATTTTACAATGTTTTAAACTATATATATAGAAATATAAACTTTTATAATAAAAGAAAAAATAATACCAAACTTACTTTTACTGGTAAAACGTCTCTCTCGAATAAATTTGTTCGTAGTAGACGAACACCACAATTTATATCAAAACCTACACCACCAGGTGATACAATTGACGTTGGATCATCCATATCAAATGCTGCCATATTACCTATATGCAATAACATTCTCTTAGTGTTATTTTGTTCTTATTTATTATTGAGTTTTGCCTATTAATAATTAGATATTGCTCCGAATTCCATGTTTAAACAAACGGTATGATAATTTACCAATAGCAAAGCCATATCCAGAGTGCACATCTGGTAATCCAACAGATCTCCATACAATACCAGGCAGAGCTGCAACATTAGCAATCTGCTTCATCCCAGGAAGAAAACCTCCAATTGCACCTGGTCGACATGCATTGCGCAACTCATCAAACATCAAACGCTCCAATGTATTGTTTACATAAAACACTCCTTCAACCTTAAATTATAATTTATTTATATAATAAAATAAATGTGTGTTGATATAAGGATAATAAATTAAATGTCTTTGCCTATATTTATATTTTTATATTTCTTAATATTTATTTACCTTCATATTAGGTTGAAAACCTTTTTTAATTCTCCAACAATGTTCATTTATTTTTTCCAAATACTTGAGCTCCTCTTGATATTGTCTTACAACCATTTTTCTGAAAATAAGAAACATAACAAAATATGACAACATAAAAAGAAACATAATACAGTTAAAATACAGATATATTACAAATTAAATACACAGTTATGTATATATAAAAGATTTCACAATATAAAAAAGGTGTTAAATTATTATATATTACCAAGAAAACATATTAAGTCAACTAAAAAAGTGTTAAATACTTAAAAATTATACTTAAAACACAATCTGATGCAATCATGTTTTACATAAAAACCAAAAGATTATATTCTACACAGAATAGAATTAAATCTTACGAGATGATGATATTATTGACACAATAGTACTTACAATTATAAGTAATTGTTCTGAAATATTTAACAATTCAACCGGTTTCTTGACAAATCAAAGCAGTCCAGAACAATTTGGTACGCACTCTATGGATCTGACGACAGTTTAACGAAGAAATAGCGTAATATGCGCAAGCCACACACATAACCTCTGCGTTTCAGCTTGCTTCACATACTAGAAAGGAGCAGACGTACTATCTCTATTTCCTTTCTTACACTCCATTTTAGACGGAATTTTTCGCAATGTTAACAGGAGCACATGATGATAGGAGCTCACTCGGAGTAGTGCTGCCGTCTTTCGGTTAGCTAAAACAACAACATATCAACTGTACATGATGGTAAGTATACCGACTGATCTAGTCAAGCTCCTATATCATCATGTGCTCCTGTTAACAATATTTCAATTCCGGCTAAAATGGAGCATTTCTAGCCGTAAGTCCAGCGGATAATTTGAATTATTCTACATGTTTATTTTCGCTTCTGGGCTACTTTTGACAGTGTTAGGATGCTCATAAAATACTTAAATAATTAAAACATCTCTTTTAAAATTTTTAGAAAGTTTTTTGTTGCAAAATTCAGAAATTTAAAAAGATTGTCTCTTTTAGGATGTCTTAAAGATGTCTTATTTAGAACGTTTTTAGATCGTCTTTAAACGTCCTTATATTTATTATATATAAATAATATATATATAATATGTTATATTACATGTACATAAAATATATGTTAATATTATGCTCCTTCCGAAGTTAGTCGAAGCGCGGAGCTCATATGTAATAAACATGCATAAGCATGCAGAAAAATTCAAATTATCCGCTGGATTTACGGCCAGAAACGCTCCATTTTAGCCGGAATTGAAATATGTTAACAGGAGCACATGATGATATAGGAGCTTGACTAGATCAGTCGGTACACTTACCATCATGTACAGTTGATATGTTGTTGTTTTAGCTAACCAAAAGACGGCAGCACTACTCCGAGTAAGCTCCTAATTATTATGTGCTCCTGTTAACATTGCTCCTATATCATCATGTGCTCCTGTTAACATTGCGAAAAATTCAAGACTAAAATGGAGCGTAAGGAAGGAGACAGAGATAGTATATGTCTGCTCTTTTCTAGTGTGTGAAGCAAGCTGAAACGCAGAGGTTATGTATGTGGCTTGTGCAAGTATGTAGTATTTCCTCCCTCATGCTGTTTGCTGCTTGCGTTTCAAATCTGACATCACTGGTTGTAAGATTAGTCAATCAAAATGGCTAGCCAAGCTTCGTCTGCTGTTCGTCAAGTGAAACCAATTTTATCCATTAGCAGACAAGACGCACGACGAAAAGTGCTTACGTTGTACAAAGCTTGGATTCGTCAAGTGCCAAGCTCGTGTATGTAATTCTCATTGTCATATATTATAAGTTGCAAGTTCTTGCATTTCCATGATTTAACCTATAAAGTATAGTTCATTTATAATCTTTAATTATAATAACTTGTTATTTTATATTGAATAATTTGTATTGTTAGATGCATTTATTTTTGATCTATTACATAAAGCCTTTTACTATTATGATGTTTGATTTTAGATAATTATATTCTTGCTGTCTTCTCTTTTTACAGTGTTGTGTTATGATATTCCTAAAAATGAAGCAGAATGTAAGCGGAAAATACGTGAAGAATTCAAACGTCATTCTCATATAACTGATCTAAGAATTATAGACCGACTTATTATAAGGGTAAGAACTATGTCAAATATAAGAATTGATCTCTTTATGAAGGAATATTAACGATAGTTAATTATATGTACATACATAGACTTACGATGTGTATGTGTATACTTGAAAGTAAGAAACTATGATTAACTTTTTGTATACTACAATCAGCTTAAAACTAGCTTGTGTATAACTGATTTTAAATTGAACTTTTTATATATAGGATGAGGTATTAACTATTATCATCTTAAATATCTTTAAAAAATGGATAGGATATTCTATTTAAAAAATGACGATGACTTAAATCTCCGAAGCAACTCTACGTAGAAAAAACATGTTACTGCCATATGCTGATCACTTTTGCATCATGCACAACTTTTGTTAAACAATTTTTCTCTTGCTCTCATAGTATCGAAGATATTCAAAGCTAATGGTTAGCGCCTTATCCTGTATAATAAGAAAATTGTCACATTTCTACTGATAGAACGATTAAATTTGTGGCATTTAAATATAACGTTATGTACTTCAATAGGGTCAGATGGAATTGCAAGAAGTAGCTAACGTATGGAAACCTAAAGGAGCAGTTATGCATTATTGGAAGGAAACATGGGAAAAGAAACCAACTGATTTTATGTCAAAATTCTTTAGCGGTCAAGATTAATACTACTCTGCCTTGATTAGTTCATAAAATGCATATTTATGGCTGCATTTTAGAAATACACGATTGTAATAAATTATGTGTAAATATAATATATAGTGTGTAAATATAAGGATATCTGGGCTGATTTGGAAAATAAAGGCATGAGTAAACAATATGAATGAATGTTACCAATATAATTTGAGAAGATTAATCTTTAATTGACTCTTGTAGAAGGTAATAATTCTTTTAATTTACGTTTTATCTTTACATTGATATATTATTATTTAATTATATACATTTAACAACATGATATATTACTAAGCACCTTAGATATTATTTAGTTTATTTTTCACAGCCATACGGACAATTTGCTTGTTTCAGTGAACAAATATAGATTTATAGATATTATAGATATACACACATGTGTGCTAATATGTTTTATGTACATATGTCTTACACATTCATGCTTCTTATTTGATTATGTATGTACAGTCGACATTGGAATGATTAGAGAAATTTTTCATTTGTTAAGTATGTAACAAACGGAAAGTTATATAGTTTTATCGCTTTATAAGTTTTAATTATTATATATAACTGTTGAATTTCTCATTTATGTAATAAATTTATTATAAAATTAGAGGTTTTGTTTCATAGATAGAAACTTGCTTATGAAAATAGTAATTTCTACCTATAGAACAAGGTTTTTTTGTATACCATTCTGACGTCGACTATACGCAATGCTATCTAATTCTAATTCCTTTTTCATATCGTTAAACGAAATGGATCGTCGGATGATCTAAATGTCCGTGGTGTACTTTGGTCATGATTTTTATAAAATAGTTTAGTGTTTCTGTTACACACTCGAATTAAAAATCTTAACAAAAAAAAGAACAGGAGTAGGGTTCTGTACTATGTAAAAGTTGCTTTCTGCATCCTCTCGATGCACAGGTTTTTAGTACAAGTTATATAAAATACCTAGATATTAAAAAATATACAATGTCGGTAACTCTTTCATATACATAAATTGCACATATCTAAGCTAAAAAAAAGATGGCAACAATATATCATGCTTATGACTCATAAACGTAATATGCTTCACATAATTACGCATCCAGTAGCACTCTCACTTTTTACACGTGATTCTATTTCCTGCTACCAGTTTGTCGCGTTACTAAAAAAAAAAAGAGAATATTTTTCGAATGTGTACTAGACTACACTTTCACGTTCAGTTTGCTTATCGTACCCTGGTATTACGCCTCTCCTTAAAGAGACGTTGCTACTACGCAATCCGTTACCGTTGAACATCTGAATGATAGTTGAAACCGGCGGAATTTCCAACAACTTTCGCGCGGAAGATTTTTGTCAGGTACACTGTCCGTGCTAGACGCAGATACCACTTGATCCAGCGAGCGCGAACGTTTCTCCCGAATGTATCCTTTGCCTTCGCTCTCGTCGCCTAACAGTGGCTCCGCTTCGTTCGGGGAGTTATCAGTGTGAGGCACCATTATCACATTCCCGTTAGGATAATTATTATTTAGCATTTTCTCAGAAATGTCCATTTTCGAATCAGTCCGCGTGCACTCGTTCTCCTTCCAGAAATTCGGTGACGAATTGTTATACCGTTTGTTATACATTTCGGTGGGAAGCGGGTCCAGTGAGCGAGATCCGCGTATAACAGTCTGAGATGGATAGTCGCTTGATGACGAAGACGCGATCGTGGACAATGCGCGCGCATTTTTCCTAAGCTTCGGCCCCGAGATCGTAAACAAATCATCGACTGATTTGATATTGTTAGCGTGTCCTTCCATGTCTTCCTGGATCGAAACATTGTCTAGCGTGGTCTTCGAAACGCTTTCGGTCAGGCATAGGGGAGATTTCTCAATCTTGCGCGCATGCAGTGGTCGAGGAACTGGACTAGATCCACCGCATTGGGAAGACGAATCGTCTGCCATTGGATATGGTACAGCTGATTGTCTACGACTCCCACCGCCTAATCCCTCTAGCAGTGATGCATATCGCGAGTCTGGATTTAGCTTCGGACTTTTCCGCGGTCGGCAGAACAGCGGTGGAAGATTTTCGTCCATATTAAAGTTCTGTAGAGACATAAAAACTCAGTTTTTTAGGAAAAATAAGCTATAATAAGAAATAGATAATAAAAATGTATTTAAAAAACATAGTTTTTTAACGATAATTTAGAATTAAATAATTAATTATATTTCATAACTTAAAACAAATAAATAATAAATAAATTTTCATGAATAGAAATAAGCAAAAATCTTATCTTTTAACCAATTTCAGGTAGACTTGATAGAAATTTATTTAAATTTAAGAATTTTGGCAAAAATTATCTCTAAATTGATCAAAAAATACATTCTTAACTTATGCTTTTGTAATACAATTCGGTTTAGACATTCGGCAGATTTTTATTTTTATTCACAAACCTCTGTATTTTTTCTGTGCGTCACAGTAGCTCCCGTGAGCCAATACGTCTTCACTGTTCCCTTTCCTTTCATTTCTATGAAGCCTCGTTCCTCGATCTTGTAACCTCCGATCTTATCGAGAGCTTCTTTACATTGTTGACTGATATGTATCCGTAATGGTTCCCCGGTAGATTCCATACGAGACGCCGTATTGACGGTGTCCCCGAACAAACAATATCTAGGCATTGTTAAACCAACAACACCCGCTACTACAGGACCTGTAGATTCATGCTCATGTTATTATCAATTATTATATCGATGTACATACAATGTACATATATTACGTGTACTTAAATAAAGCGTCTCTTACCAGTGTGAATACCAATACGTAGCTTAAGAGTTTCTTGAGGTCGATGAGGTATCGTGTGGTGTTTAACGGCATTAAGTAATTCCAGCGACATTGATGCTATCTGCCCGGCATGTTGATCTCCATTCCTTATTGGAAGACCGGAGACCTGAATGGAGTATCGATGTTTCAGAAACAATTTTTTTTCTTGCTGTTGATTCATCAATTTTAAAAATATTACTTACGACCATATAAGCATCTCCAATCGTTTCTACTTTGTACACTTCGTATCCTCTAATTATGCGATCGAATAATGTATACAGATCATTCAAGAAATTAACAACCTGTCGGTGCAATCATAAAATCATGTAAATAAGTGATTTTTCTTCTATTAATAATTATAATGCGAAATGTGAAAATAAATACCTGAAACGGAGTGCTTTCCGCCGACATTGCCGTGAAACCGACGATATCGCTGAAGTATATAGTAACCAAATCGAAAGCTTCTGGTTCCACTCCGATACCGTTTGTTAAACAATTCGCGACAGGCCTGAAACAAATAATGAAATATTTTGTCAACATGTATTTACGCGTGCCTGGATTTTTATAATTATAGAGCTAGCGAAGGCACTCACTTGGGTAACATTCTATGAAGCAGATCTTCAGTTTTCTTTTTTTCATCCAAAAGAAGTCCCGTACGCTCGGTGACTAGATCTTCGAGGTTGCTTGCATATTTCTCCATCATATTCATCATTTGATCCATTATGTTTCGGTGCCATCCGGCTTTCATCTTCTTCAAGCCGATTCTTATCGTCTTGAAGTCTGGCCTAAATTCTGGACTTTCCGCCCAGCAGTCCATAATAGTATTAATAACATAATCGGCGCAATTTGTTTTCGACTCGGAGAGTATATTTAAGTTGGGCCTGAACGGCGGTTCACCATCTTGTGGTAACTTTTTTACTCGGTCTATGATTTCTGTCAAATTATTAATAATAATATTTATTTATTTTCTTAATAATTTTTTGTCAAGTCGAGAAACGATCGTAGTTTATCATGTCGTTACAATTACCTTTGGGTTCCAGATTGATATTTCCGTACGGCCCTTTTCGCCCAAGAATTTCATACAGAATAATGGCAAAAGAATAAATATCCCCTTCCTGAGTGCCTCTAATCGAGGCATGCGGATTTCTTAGCAGCTCGGGAGCTTTCCAAAACAAGTCTGAAATGGGATAATACACGAATTAGAATAATGCAAAGTGCACAACTGTGATGTGAAGGTAAAAATATCGGCATACTTCGATAATACTGATGTTCACCAATGCTGTCAGATTCGGCGCAATGACGCATATCATGAAGACCGAAATCGGAGACTTGGAGCACCCAACGTGAAGTCACAACACAATTGGAAGACTTCAAATTACCATGACAGACTAGCACAGATGACTCGTGAATGTACAGCATACCCTGTTTAACAGAAGCCATTTCTAAAATCAATACAATATTGCAGCTTGATTTCTCCTTTTTAAAGATTCACCTACCTTAATGAGATCGTGAATTAACGATGCGATAAACATATCATCTAATTTTATATCTTCGTTTTCGATAATGTCCTGAAAACAAAACGTACAACGCATGTTTACATAATTACATTCAACTTTCTCTTGTTATTGTCTAAACTTTTCATAAGCAAATGCATTATGCTACAACTTTTATTTATGCATGATAATGCATTGTTCTTGCGCATAATGCACTGTACTACGAATAATAGCAGGATGTCACCGTGATTACGCTATGACGTACATAAAGACTTCCTTTGGCACAATAGTCGGTAATTAACAATATCCTCATCGGCTCCACGCACGCTCCGATGAAAGAGTTGAGATTACCATGTCTAATATCACGGAGAACGCGCATCTCCTTCATAACGTCCCGTGAAATATCTTTTTTCTTCGAGAATTTCAGCTCCTTTATCCGCACCACTACACCGTGGTAATGCCCAGTTTGCGCAAATACTTGGTTGCCGCATCTTGATTCATAGGACATTGCACTAACTAAACTTAACTGCAATAAAAAAAAGAAATGTCCCAATGTACGAACAAGTGATTCACCATTGCGGTTCATCTTAGCACAATGATACGCGCGCTACTCACCTTACTAGGGGAGGACATCATGTTGTCAAGATGAGGATAACCGTGTATCTCGCTCGGATCAATCTTCCAAAGCAATCCTTCTATCTCCTGCTCTATTTTCCACCTCCGATACAGAGTCATAGCGAACAACGCGACGATGAACAACGCAACAAAGAGAACGATGGCGACGGTGATACTACGGAAATGCGTATCGTCCTTTGGACAATGTTCATTGAGAAAACCACAACCAGGCTCTGCCTCCGGCTTATTTTTCCCAGGCCAATCCATGGCTCCCGTTGGTCTGTATACCTGCAATTATATCATTCAGTTTACTCATCCTCGTAGCGCGTTCAACTTTCATATGATTCAGTGATTTAAATGCAAAGCAAAGCGGTAGAATTTTCTATCCGCCGTGAAAAATGTTTCTCGAATGCCACGAATAACTCACTCACTAGAGTTTCACCCTGCTGGAACTGGCCCACCGGGGCCATCTGATACTCGCAGGTAAAATTGTCCTGGTGTAACGCCTCCTTCTTAAGAGCGAGTACCGAAAAATTTCCTTCCGAGTCCCCATATTTGTCCAATTTTATGGTTGCCCCACTTACACCTAGAAGAGATAAAAGTATGAAGTATGAAAGATTAAGGAACAGGCTTGAGAAATTGTATCAGTTCTTTTGATCTTCGATCTCTATTGGTCATTTATCATCGACATGTCAAGTGTTAAATCATACAAACCACTTGAGATTAATCCTATCAATATCACGATTAAATTTATCAGACATTATTGTACGTACTTTGATATGTACGATTCTTGATAATCGTCTCAATTATAAGAGTGCCATTTCTAGCGAGCTCCTCGACAGATTGATCCGCATGATCAATAGTTAGCTGATGCAAGGCTCTTGCGTACAGCTTGAGAGAATCGTAGAGATACGCCGCATAAATGGACACGTACTGAAACGGAGATTAGCGTGTAACAAAAAATTACGCGATACGAGCGTTCACGGTTGAGCTAGCGTCTAAAAGCTACCTTTTCATACTTTCTCAGAAGCTCGGGGATCACGAAGTTGAATGGCTCCTTAACACTATACTCTCGGACCTTCTTAGTGAATTCCTCGTAATTCTGCGTTGGCGGCGTTGACACAACCACCATCAGCGAGCGTGCCCTCTTTAGAAAGTCCTTCGGCTCCATACAATTCTTCAATATATCGAAGTGTTCCGGTTCTGTATCAAATAATAATATTATTGTTATTGTAAAGTGATCGATTAAACACACAGTTTTGGTGTAAAATTCGGAAATATTTAATCTTTAAGTGCTAAAACAAATGTGCATATACAATAGGCAATTCAAGCTTGAATTTATTACGAAATTAGTTCGACAATTGTGGCACAAATAGCATAAATTACGGCGTAAATAGGAGTCTAACGATTACGCAATCGGCTTATTGATGTACTATTTGTGATATAAACATAACGCTTGATAAGATTTCCCAGATTTACTCACTCCACAAATATTTCTGTGCTTCGCGCGGCGAATACGTCATCATGTCCACGTATATTACCATGTACTCCCCGTCATCCAGCAGCCTTTGGCTTTGCATCGAATTCATCATATCTATGAGTGACATTGGCGTACCCAGGAAGATGTAAACTAAAATGATAAATGTGAATATATTGAGTAAAACAAATAAAATTTCTACAATTTATGTCACGAGAAAATTATTGTTACGCAAAGAGAAGAAAATGTTATCGTTTACATAAATTATGTATTACACCTACAATAATATTATAAATTAATTGAATGGAACAAAAAGACGCGAGCAATAATATTCTTAACTTGACATCAATGAGATTAATGCTGGATCTCAAGAGACGATCGCCGGAGTCGTTGGAAAATAAGAATGCTCAATTGCGACTCTGCGCTGACACCACCGGCGATTGTGTCTTGCGAGCCAGCGCGAATGTAAAGAAATGTAGACTGACTGCGGGTCATATTTTTGGTCTCCTGTATAATTTGGAACCATACGCTGACTTGGCAGCAAGACATTCTCTCCTCGCAGCACGTGTGCCGATCCTCGACGATCTTGTAGTGGTTCACGGTGAGATTGCTCTTACTCGACTCGTCGTTCAGCGAACGGGCGACCGTTACCCATGCGCGCTCGCTCACGATTGTGAATTTGTTCCATCCGTAGTGCAACAGCAAGGCGATCACCGATTTGGTCACCTGCGTGTCTGGCGGCTCGGTCCTCACGAAGGTGTTCACTCTCGAAGCCTTGTAGTCTGAGCATTTCTGCAACAAAAGGCCCATCGCTTTGAGAAAATAGTATAGAAATGAATAAAAGTGCGAGTTTTTCTATCAACAAATTTCCTGCATTTTACCTCTCCTTAAACAAAGATATTGTATCAAGATAGAATTATTTTATTATCGATAAGACTACGAATGACGATGTATCGCTTTTATCGTCCCATAATCCCAGTGATTCCTTCCGAGTATAATCATACACGCGACATTTGCTCAACGGGTTTCCCGTTGTTGCGAAAATTCGCTGCCCCTCCTCCTTTTCCGCCGCCACTGCTCTCTCCCACTTAGGAGACTTATTTTTAATTAATCTATTTCGCCGGCTTTCTTCGACAGCTATGAAGTAATCGTTCGTAATTCATCGGATATCGCGAGCCGGGGAATTATTTAGTGCCGTAATTCGAGCGCCTGCCGACGCGTGTAATCGAATTCGCTATGTTCGTTCAACCATATTCAGTTCCACATACTTCAGCATATAGTTCGAAAATTATTTTTGCGATTTCTAACTGGGAGAAATCATGTTGCATATGTATCGGAAGGTGTTGTGTCTCAAGAGTTAACTCAATAGCATTGCGAACACTGCATTTGCAATGTTATTTTCCTCGATGCTAGAATCTTACAAAAATTAAGGGAATAGTATAGAGAGAAATAAAAGTGCGAGTTTTTCTATCAACAAATTTCTTGTATTTTACCTCTCCAAACAAAGGAAAATGATATTGTATCAAGATAGAATTATTTTATTATCGATAAGATTACGAATGATGATGTATCGCTTTTATCGCCCCGTAATCCCAGTGATTCCTTCCGAGTATAATCATAATGTGGGAGGAGACTGCGAGTACGCCCTTTCCTTGAAAGTAAACGAGCGTATGCGAAACTCGTGCACCACCATGGCGAGCTCGTCCCGTCCGTCGGTGCAATGAAAACGAGTGGACCGAGGAGAAGGAAGAGAAAAAGGAGACCGCCGTGAAGGTGGAAAAAGGAAGAGAAGAACGGAGCGAGAGAAGATCGAGAAGGAAAGGCGCAGCGTGAGGAAGGGAGGAAGGGACGCGGGGGGGAGATGCACCGGGAGTAATGCAGCAAAGTTGGGCTGCGTCGGGTACCATGGTGTGTGGCGCGGTTAAATATAAACCCGAAGGCGAAGAAGGGCGGGAGGAGAAGTGGAATGAACGGGGCGGCTCTCTTCGCGCGCGTACGTACCCGAAGAGGTGCACGGGACGGGACTGAAATGTGACATGCGCTCCTCATTAACATATAAATTAAACATGACAGTCGTGGGGGTCAGTTCTTCTTTAACCATAGCGACCACCGCTACGCCGCTCAAGGCTCTCTCTCTTTCATCCTTCCTGACTATGCGGCTGTCTTTCTTTATTCGGAGTATCCGTAATGCGATAATGCTTTCAGCAGTTCGACCGCAGTAAGCTAACGTATCCATTCTTTGCTGATTTTTAATTAATAACAGTTTCTCTGGTAGCCCTTGGCCGACTTTAGATGCACGAACGTTGTAAGGTAAGTTCGAGACAAATTGCGAAAAACAGTAAGCATTTCGTGTCATTATTGCGGGAATTTATCGAAATTATTTGATATTTTTTTTCTTCTTATATTTTTGTATTTTATAATATTATGAAACCAAATTCGCTCGGGATTTACTGATAATTAATAATGCAAATTTAATTTTAATTTAACCTAAATTTAATATAAACTTGATAATCAAAATTTATATGTATATATATATATATATATATGAATTCCATACTGAAAATAATTCAAAATTATTAATAAATAGTAATATATCGAAAGAAGTTCATAATATAAATTTTATCTAAAAATTAATATTTACAACAGTCTTAAATTATTTACATATCCATACAAGTTCAAATAATATTTTATAGAACTGAGTTTTAAAAAATATAAATAATACTATAGATTGTAAGCAAATATTGATAAAAACTAATATATTAATGTCTTTCTAATATTCTACTATTTTCTTTACTTTGTAGGCGAATTTCTAGTCGATTTCTCCTTAGCTGTTTTGTCTTGATATTTACGTTTTGATAACATACAATTAGATAGAAAAACATTTGTTTTTTTATTAATTATCATACGTTTTTTTAAGCATATTACATACAAATATTATATCTTATGAAATCTCATCCAATGTGTTGCGATTGAATTACACTAGTGGTTAGTTTTCTAGCATCCACTAACAAAGGAAACCGCAAAATTCCTATTCCTACGCATATTTGTTTTTTTCAGTGAAAAAACGGCAAACTAAAATGGTCAACTTTTTGAACTTCCACTCTTTTACATCCTAAATAAGATCTATAGGTACGGTGACCATATTTTCCGAGAGAGAATAAAGAACAAAAATCAGGTGCCGCGGAAGTATTTTTCATCTGAGGGGGCAAAATTTATAAAAGGGATACATAATACATTCATAATATGTATATGTATATGTATGTAACTTCATTCAAACACCATATAATAGGCCACTCAGTGGGTAGCATAAATGTGCGAAAAATGCACAGATTTTTTACTCTTATTAACTTAATGTACTTAATTTTCTTCGTTATATAATGTATTTCAATTGAACGAGTAAATAGTAAAAAAAGAAAAAGGGAAAAAGAAAAAGAAGAAAAAAACCCATCTTTCCATCTTTGATGTAAATATTTGATGCTCAATATTTTTGGTCATGAAATATTTGAAGAAAACAGAAAAATTTCAGGGAGGCGTAGCTCACCTGAATTACTGAGTGGGCGATCGCCTTCTGTGCCCCCCCTCGGTTCCGCAGCGCCTGCTGAAAATTTTAGGGCTTTGTTTCAACATATTTCCAAATCAGTTTGCGATCAAAGTTACTACATTCAAAATTCAAACTTGCCTGGAGATCGGCGAGCAAAAGAAAAAGAAAAAGAACAACCGATAACTCTGTGACTATCAGAAGTTCTCACGTTAGTACGACATTAGACATTGAAACGTTAAGTAAAAAAAATTAATATTGTAATTTTGTAAATATAAAAGACAAAATTGTAAAAATAAAGGACAAAATTGAATTTTGAAAAAATAAATAAATCTAAAGGACTGTTCTTTAGAATAAAGGACGTATGGTCACCATATCCATAGGCCTGATAGGTTGTTAGAATGCTCACAATCAGTTCGCTAACCTATGTCATGGGCGTTTTATTGACCGAGAGTTCTATTTTTAGAATGATTTCACAAGATTTTGTGTAATTTAGAATATGTATAGTAACATCTTTCGAGATAGCGGCTTATATTCTTATCATATTTAAAATGCTTTTCTGTTACGTAACATAAAGAGAGAATATGTTTTTATATAAAAAATATACTATAACTATCTTGAGTACTAATATAATAAGAGTTAGACTAGTGCATTTTGAAGGAATTAGCACATTTAAAGTTTACGATATTTATTAAAAAATGCATGTCTTCTCGATTAAGTTTTCTTTCAGCTTTGAATTTTCCGATTTTTTTATTCAATCGCTGCACTATGATAATTATCTCCTAATTTTAAATTCATTACTGTGATCTTGGACATTTGTTTAATTTTTATATAAAACTTTATATTAATTTTCTTTCCTTAATTGCTACACCGTTTTTATTTCAACGTTTCCTCGAACTAAATGATGCGGGTAGAGTATTTTAGGTGCATTATCTCATTCTTCTCATGAATACGAGCCTTCAAATGTCCTCCGGTTAAGTTTGTTTATCTCGGATTTTTCATTGTGCGAAAGGTCCCAACGATTACAAGACGATCGTTGGGACCGGGACAAAACTGATCCGCCACTCGAAGCAGTTATCCTAGTTCGGCTGGTCGAAGGCACCGTGGCGGAGGTAGGCTTTGGTCATTGCCGGCGCGGTGTTATTCTGGGCCCCACTCGGGCTATATTTAGACGAGACCACCTTGAGGGAGCTCAAGACTCGAGAGCTCTCCGTGGCACAACGAGCTGGTTTTCTCCACCAGCCGATTGTGTCTGGTTGTGCAACGCCATTGCGCGCGCGAGCGCACCCGCTCGAAAAACAGTCGAGAAAATCCTCTTTCGTCAGGCGATCGCGCGACTTGACATCCTTCTTTGCGTGATCGACGTCGGCAGGCCGACCGTCGTTTTTCGCTCTGTTCGCGTAAATAATCGCTCGCGGTGACGTTGCGCAATTCCCCCTAGCCTCCACCAACGGGTTTGCTTAACCTTTAAACGGCTAATTAACAATAATAACAGAGATCGATTTCTCGTAAACAAAGTACATCTATTTATAACTTGTAAATACAAAAAAAAACTGACGTCCTTACGAGATTGTGTAATGCAATCCTACGTTCAACTGTACTGGATTTTTTCAAATAATAGAAAAACGATCACCATTACACACGTGTCAGGCGATTAAGAGTTATTATTAAACTCAATAAAGATTTTACATAATTTTGTTATAATAATAAAATTTTAATACATGATCCTGATATGCTATCAGAATGATCACAGTTTGAAGAAATCAGAATTGACAGGAAAACTGCTATCGATTTTACGACAAATGTTTTGACGGGAGTGCGACGATTTGTGAACTAGTTGGCTAGTTGACTATATTTCATATTAGCGTTTCTCGGAAAATAATTTCGGGTTTGTGTGTCAACGTCCTTCAATCTACCACCGCAGTATCTACAGCCTCGTTCTAATTCCGTTGGTTTTTATCGTAAAGTGTCGCAAAATGATTTTTCTTTCAAACGCCTCGCAATATGGTTTTATATCATTAAGTGCGACTATTGTGCAGCTCTTGTTTGTGTTGGCGCACATTCAAAAAAATAATTGCGGAAGACCTCATTCGCGTGCAACAGTCAGCTTCACAATCCCTCGATCTGTATCGTAGATTTCGCACTATGGTAAGTTGGAGTAATTGCTCGTCGACGTGTTCGCAGAATAGAGACTTTAAACCATACATATTTTTGCGAGCTCGGTATTACAGCAATACGTGCTAATTCGATATCTTGAGCTATGCGTATACATCTACATACATATATACACGTATATATCAGTTCGCAAGTAAAATCGTCCGAGACAACTGCCGACAGTAATTCGCAGTTGCACACTCTTCAATGTCAGTTGATTTAAATATTACGCAAAAATAATCCCAAGAAACTCGATAGTGCATTCATATCGCTATATCGACAGAAAAACAAAAAACAAAAAAAATTCCAAGAGTATTTTTACGAACGAACACAATACACGAATATGAAGCAATCAATTATTATTTGCGGCAATAGCTAATTGATATTTACATATGATTTAATGATTGTACTTTCTAAAAATAAAACGTTTCGACAACTGTTATCGAGATATCATATATACTACTGCCACTACGAGTTGTTATTGTAAACATCCGAAACAATGTCACAAGTTCATCTTAGATACGAGCGACACATTAACACTCGTATCGCTTAAACCATTTCATAAACCGATGAAGAATGACGCGGCGCGTCTTAACTCGATTCGTACGCGTTTCACGTAATCGACATGTGTTACGTGTATTTTTCAATCACATATAAATCCATGACATTTGTCACGTCTTCATCCTGTTCACATGCAACAAAAATACACCTGTAGAGGAAGTGTCGCAAGGAAGATGAGTGTTAGAATGTAAAGTGCCAAGTTCATTTTGTTACCTTTATTTAATTTTAATAAAGAATTAATTGATGGCTTGTTTTCTAACGATACATTTTCATGTATCCTGATAATTTTAGAATGAGAAAAATCGCGTATATCAAAGAATTTATTGTTATCAATTTTTTTATCTTGCATTGATAGCGATCGTTTGAAAGATATATGTAAAACTCTCTAAAATTGTATTTAATAATAATCTGTTATTATTTCAGAATTTATGGAATTCTACAAATAAAATAGTTTATGTCAAGATAAAATAGAGATATACATTTCTTTTTGAAAAGTGTACGATGTTACACAAAAGTGATTTTGCTTTGTACAAAGAAAGAATTTGTGTTGATCCCAAATTAAAGCAGCGGAAAGACTGCTTCCTGGATTGAATTCACGGATATAAAAAGAACAGATCGATGATTATATCTTGCAATAACAGCTATTATCTTTTGGCTGACAACACCAAATACAGAATGTTCCAGTTTCAGCAATTATCTCTACGCGAACAACATCCTCTTCGACAAGTTTATTTTTTTCAGCTAAAGTTGATAAGATCAACACCTGATAGAAATTTTTAATTTGTAGCATTAAATAGCTTTTGTAGTTCAGTATTAAATTTCGAGTAAAGTAAAATTTATATAAAGTAAAATTATATATCTTATTTGAAATATAAGATCCTGTTTTCCGTTTAAACTTTCCTGATTTAAAGTGTGAATCTTCTATCAAACTATTTTACGATTTTTGATAAAATTTCTTCGAGTATTAATTAGATTTGCACAGCGTAATAAGATTCGTCACTTTTGCAATTCGTAATATTCGAAATATCTCGGATATCAAGGTCACAATAAATTTTTTTTGTAATCGCCACCGTTCGACATATTTTTCGTTATTTACTCGGCCGGAAGAATCAATGATACAGCGGGTTGTTTGGATGGATAAATCGCGATATTAATACTCACGCATACAATTTAGCTAAGCGTATTATCGCTGAAAGTGTTTTATAAACTATCACAAAATTTATTTCAGATTACTTTCGCTAATTGACGTTAATTACATATTGCATAATATTTAAATACGATTAGAAATATTTATTTTGTATCGATTTTTCGATAGCCTTGATTTCACGATCACTTTGAAAAAAGGAATTTGAAGCAATAATTAGCTAATGATGACGACAAGCGACTCTGTTTCTGCGGAATCGTCAGTTTCCTGTGTGGCAAAGGTCACGATCGGAGTGGGTCGCAGCACGTTTCAAAGTCACTGATGAAACATCTTTACGTTGTCGATCGAGAATGCATAAATGACACGACGGAATGTTTTAATGTTCCAATACAAAACTTCCAATACAAGATATGAAAAGATAGAGATCAATCTCGAGTAATCGATAATTAAAAATCAGAGAAAACGAAAATGCAGTCGGATGTAGTTGAGAATTATAGCGTTTTTACGTTTCTTCGCGGTAAACTTATCTCGATTCGCCACGGCAGTGGCTACGGAACGGACTTAGCGACCACGCGAGCCTTTTGCGGACCCCCTTTTTCTTCTTAGGAAGGCGTCGAGCGCCGCTGATATTTAAAACTGTTAGAACTATATTTAAACCATGTCTATATTCATCAACGGATGTGTCTATACATAGAGTACCGTATTTACTAACTCGCGCCACACTGTACGCGCGAGTCCAGGAGTCAGAAACCGAAGCGTGTGTTGTAATCAGCGAGACGGCGCGATCAGGCACGCATCAGGACTCTCCGGACTCTTTTTATCATATCGCAATTTGCAGGTTTTCGTCATCTCGCCGTATTTTAATACGGCGAACGATTTATACATGTCTGACAGATCTCTGGTTGTATAAATGAATCTTCTGATGAAATGTCGTGTTGCATCGACATTAATACTTTCGTAAAAAATAGATTACAAATCAGAAGTAAAAATGAGTATACTGTATATATAAAATACATACAAATAGTGATGTAATAGGCAAAATTCGCTACTAATAAAAAATGATTCTCTTCAACTACAGTCAAGGAAACATTACATCTGCGATAGATGCGTAAAGCAGTGAATTAGTCACAATTAGGACTCTAAAAGTGTCGGTCTCGATTCCGATAGATAAGCATGATATGCGATTCTAATCAAAATTGTT